AGTGATCAACGATGTCAAGAATAAGAACTATAAGATTGACGATCGCAAGCTGGTTCAGATAGAAACCATGACAAGGCGTATGTTCTTTGGCCTTAATAGATCTAGAACGATCAATGAGACTCTTATCACCAGATTTCGTGACACGACTTCTGAAGATGATAGAATGATCTACTCGGCCCTACTTATGCAGAAGAAGGACCAGCAGTTCCTAACGGATCGTCTCACATCAGTCTCAGCAGCGCTAACCTTAGCTCGTCGTCAAGGCCTCCTCGCTTCCTGCAGCTGGGGTGAGCAGTTACAGCTCCACTCTATACAGCCCCGTGGTCCTCACCATCCATCTTTGACGGAGGAATAGAGAAAGTCTCCAAGGAAGTCACTAAGGATTCTAGAGAAGTCCTTATGATAAAGTCGATGGACACGCTAGCCAGCGTCATCAGGCAGACTTCACAAAGATATTCAGGGAAATCTAAATTCACTGGATTACAGAGAGCACGGGATAGGAAGATGGCCAGCTCCAGAGGAAAAGATTCTTTTCGTCGCCCATATGGCAACTACAGAGGAGGATCAGGAAGAGGCAGGGCACCCAGAGGTTCCCACAACTATAAACGATGAAAGACAGGTTCGGAACGACTGGAGTCTTCCACCCCCAGCCGTTCCAGTACAACCGTCACAAGTGGGTGGACGCCTTCAACTGCACTGGGAGAACTGGGGAATGTTACAAGACCCATATGTCTCCAACATTCTTCAACACGGATATCGTATCCAACTACAGGCCACGCCTCCGCTGACAGTCAACCCTCACAAGTTCGACTTCCAGGCACAACAACTACCAAAGTTAAGAGAGGCTGTTACTTCTCTCCTAACCAAGCAGGCCATAGAAGTACTAGATCAAGTAAACGTCGAACCAGGCTTCTACTCCCCAGTTTTCCTAGTACCCAAGAAAAACTCCAAGGAGAAATACAGACTCATTTACAACATGAGCACATTCAACAGAGATTATCTACGCAAACCGCCAACGTTTCGCATGATACATCTACCTCAATTACGGCAGTTAATTCGTCCCATGGATTACATGGCCAGTATAGATCTGCAAGACGCGTATCTACACATCCCGATACATCCCGAATCCAGGAAATACCTACGATTTACACTAGACGGGCTGCATTACCAATGGAAAGTACTCCCATTCGGAATATCATCGGCCCCCTGGTTATTCACAAGAGTAACGAACCTATCGTCACCTACCTACATCGTCTAGGGCTACGCAGTGCATTTTACCTCGACGACGGGATACAAGTAGATCAAGATCCACAGCGTCTCAAACTACAGTTAAACTACATCATCAAGCTACTAACACAGCTAGGATGGTTAGTAAATTTACTCAAGTCGGACCTAGTACCCTCGCAAGATCTGCAATTTCTAGGCATTCGATTTATCACGACTCTCAACCGTATCGTCGTACCAGAAGACCGATGGCTCAAGATCCAACAGACCATTCCTCTAGCCCTACTCTCTCCGCTACCACTACGACATTGGCAGAGCCTGTTGGGTCTCCTCACGTCAGCCCAAGACATGACAGTCAGAGGCAGACTACAGTTACGTCCGTTACAGGTCTTCATCAATGCTCATCTCGACGACCTACAACCATTCAGTCTACCGAAACACCTCAGACCTCATCTACTATGGTGGACCAGGAGGTCGAATGTCTGCGAAGGCATTTATTTAACAGAGCCGGAATTCAAAACCCATCTATATGTAGACGCGTCGCTCCAAGGTTGGGGAGCTCATCTCGCCAACTGGACGGCTTCAGGGTTATGGAATCAGCAAGAAAGCAAACTCCATATAAACATGTTAGAGATGAAAGCGGTAATCAACGCCATACTTCATTGGAGCACCATTCTGCAAAAGGCGCATCTGATGATTCATACCGACAACTCGACAGTGGCGTTTTATGTGAACAAACAAGGCTCAACGAGATCACTGAACCTATTGACTTTATGCTTTCAACTGTTCGATCTAATCGATGATCTCAACTTACATGTCAGAGCATGTCACATTCCCGGAGCCAAGAATGTACTAGCAGACGCACTCTCTCGGCCACATCTACCATCACTGACAGAATGGATGCTCCATACAGAAATTTTTGCACAGATTATCAAGCAAATAGGAGCTCCGCTAGTAGATCTATTCGCCACTCGCTTAAACAATCAGCTAACGACATTCGTATCACCAGTCCCGGATCCACGAGCGTGGGCAACGGACGCTCTAAGCATATCCTGGGAAGGCCTCAATGCGTACGCGTTTCCGCCGCCAGCAATAATACCTCAAGTGTTACAGAAAATCAGACAAACACAGAGCCTCCAACTCACTTTGGTCGCGCCCTACTGGCCAGCCAGAACGTGGTTTCCCATTCTAATTCAAGAAATCAGACAACCAACACTAGAGCTACCAAAGCGCTCGAATCTATTAGTACATCCACACACCAAACAGGTGCACGGAAACCCAGAAGCATTCCAACTTCACGTATGGACTGTATTAAAATGTGTTTAAAATAGAGAGAGGTTATTCAACCAGAGCGGCAAAAGCAGTCACGCTTGCCTTACGCTATTCTACACGTAACTTGTACGACGACAAGTGGCACAGTTTCGAAAATTACGCAGCAAAAAAGGGATTTACAGCGAGAAATGCTACACATCCACAAGTGGCTGATTATTTGTGTTACCTACGCCAAAACAAACATTTAAAAGGCTCGACACTGTCAACATATCTTGCCGCTCTTAGTTCTGTGATAACTATGAGAACGGGTGTCAAGCTAACCAAGACGCCAGAGTTACTGGCCTTACTACGTGCTTTCCGATTGGAAGATCAGAAACGGAAGTTCCACTTCCAGCTTGGGATCTTAATATAGTGCTCCAACACCTCACAAGTGAGGCTTATGAACCGCTGGAATCGACAACCTTTGAATTTCTCTCACAGAAAACCTTGTTCCTGTTATCTCTAGCTTACGCAGCCAGGATGTCAGAAATTCACGACTAGATTATGAGAGGATACAGTTTGATGACAATCAAAACACAGTGCACTTGGGACTAAGATGGGATTTCATCGCCAAAAATCAATTGCCAGGGTCAACCAGACAGATTATTCCATATTCCTGCACTCTCCTCGATTCTCGATCTCAAGATACACTGGACTTATCTCTATGCCCAGTCAGAGCTCTCAAAATCTATCTACGACGTTCCAAAACAAGGCGACGACTTCTCAAACGATTATTCATCCCTTTATCAGCAACAACTCAGACAGAAGTCTCTCGTACCACCATATCTATATGGATAAGAACTGTCATACTTCGCGCCTACAAGGCTGCAGGACTCGACCCTCCAAGAGCATCTAATCCCCATGAGATCAGGGCATTGGCTTCCACACTCGCTCTACATGGTAACTGTTCATTAAATACCATCATGGAAGGCTGCTTTTGGAAATCTGACATGGTGTTTGCTAATCACTATCTGAGAGATATCACCACTGAGGACGTCTCAGGTATTCACCATTTCGGTCCCATGGTCCTCGCACAGCAGTTGACAGTCCCTCGTAGACGTTAACACATAGTCTTACGAGATTATTATGTATAATTCATACCAGTATTATCTAGCTTATAACTCTACGGAGTTTTAGGGCTATTTATATACTTAGCTTAAGTCTACTTAGCCTTAAGCCCAGTACTGATGTTTATGTACAGTTAGGTAGCTTCTCCATGTTGGAATCGCTTTTTATACCTTTATTGCTATTATCATAGTATATTATTATTGTAATACCCCATCTATGGCAGTGTATAAACTTATGGTTTATATTAGCAGGAATTATCCTAAGTCAGTGCCATTATAAAGTTCCCGTAAGGGGGTTATTACAGTTATATATATATATAAATCACTAATTAATTTTATAAATCCAAAGTATTCTGTTCTTTCCCACCTCCGTTTCCATAGGATTCTACAAGCAAAAGAGCATGAGTCAGGATAAGGAAAAATATGTAGTTTTTAGAGTAAAATTGATATTTTATACTTATCCTGACTCATGAGGTGTAAGCCCTCCCATCCTCCCCACATAACACTTTGGATTTCCCTGTAAATTCAAGTGTTGGGCTCGCTATATCAGGAGAGAGTGAAGCATGAGGCCAGAAGGTGGCGCCGCCTTTCCCGCGCAAAGACAAAGGGAGGCAACTCTTGGTGAGTACTAATTAGTGATTTTACATTGAAGGGAGCTTCAATTAAGGAGATACAAGTGTTCCACTATGTTCGCAAGAAGAAGAAGACAAGCAAAAGAGCATGAGTCAGGATAAGTATAAAATATCAATTTTACTCTAAAAATTACATTTTTCAGATAAATACGTCTGTAAATGATTCTAAGAGCGTACACCATTGCGGAGGTGCATATCTGCTACATTTTCTAAAATATTTCCTGCTGTATTGTGCATATTTTTTATCCGTACATACGCCCATATACGTCCCTTATCTGGAGCCCTGAGGGTGTTACTGAGATGTTGAACTAATTGGGTGTTACGGGGGTACTTAATCGCTGGGGTGTTACTGAGTTATTTAACTAATGGGGTATTACAGAGGTATTTAACCAGGGTTTGATCTCTTACTGTGTCTGACCAAAAGGCGTTGGAAGATGGTATTTGTTATTATTATGACTGAAGATTGACATTAAAGGATTGATAAATGGACAGGTTGGTGCCGGAGTCTAGATGGAGTATAAGTGTTTATCTGTGCCATGGTGTCTCAGTGGGCTGTAATGAGCAGACACTCACAGGATGGTGCCGGAGTCTGTCTAGGTGGAGTATGTGGTATAAGTGTTTATCTGTACCATGGTGTCTCAGTGGGCTGTAACGAGCAGACACTCACAGGATGGTGCATATAAGGGAAATAATCTTAGAAGAAGATAAACTACATTTCTCCTGATGACACTGGTGTATAAGCAGTCTGTGATTCTAGTTGTTGTAGATACAGTATAAGCAGAATGACAGCCCCCACCCCGAAACGGAAGCTCCGCCTCATCACATATCTGTCCCCTGGGGTGGCGCTGGAAGTGTTTGAGATAGTGGTGCAGTATCTGGAGTCTGTGCTGGATGTAGAGGCTTCACTCATCTACGAACCACGATGGAGTGGACCTCCTCCCACAAGGGTTGACCCGTTCACGTCCGACGAAGTTGACATAGGTTTGTGTTAAAACAAGTGTGTGATTCTGGAACATTTTGACCTTCTGAGATATGCAACCACAATAATGGCAGCAATTGTCAGTAAAATTTCTAAAAAGGTAATTACATGTAATTTATTTGGTTATTTATATTTTCTCAAAATAAAGGCATGGCGCAGTTGAGGTAACATGTCATCATTGAAAAAAAGGTTGAAGCTTTATAATCAAGTGTTGCAGATCCAATTCTAAATTGATTGTGATCAATGTCATTGATTTCTGTCTCAGAAATGTGTTCGCTTTTATCACATATATTTCTATGGTTTCAGAACGAAAATATCTGAAATGGTTTTGAAATATGAATATGTCCTACATACTGTAATTTGTTTCCTTCATGATTACTATGCCTCCTACATAGTTGTAACTTGTTCTGTATTATTTCCTGCTCCACGTAGTCTGCGATGTATCTTCTCCGCTACTTTCAAAAGAACTCACCATGAGCCTCATCTTCTTTTAACGTCTGCAGCTTTCATGTGCAGCACGGCCTTCCTGCGTCTCTCTCAGAATAAGAACCAGTACGCTGAACTGTGCCAGGCGGCACCCCTTCACCAGCACACCAACGCCCTCGGCCGACCCGTCTACTTCTCCGACGTTGTCGTACACGTGGATAATGCGTATGTTCTTTGCTGTTATGTAATTGGAAACAATGTGGCAATTACACAAGCCTTTGGCGATGTACAGTGAGAAGGACAAATGACATCTATTGTCCTGTGATGTGAGAACAATATTTGACAAGTCACAGGTTTGGTTGTGGAACTAAAGTGAGTCTGTCCTTCACATATTGATAACCTTGGCTTCTTGTTGTCCTGAATGTTAATACCACCTGTTAGTTTTGGGGATTTTAGCGAGATTATTGGAATCATTTTGGAACTACCGAAACTTTGAAAGGTGAACTGTTTCTGGGAACTGGTAGGATAGACCATCGCTCCCAGGTCATCTAAGTGTCCGTGGACTGCAGCTCATTGGGCTTTCCTCCCTCATCTTGCTGATGTCATCATGTATCTGCAATAGCCTTAAACCCGTCACTCACTCACTCACTCGCTCACTCGTTAGCTGGCCTCTATCCAGTATGTGCCATCCCATGTTTCAGAACCAAATACAAGACGCTGCACGACCTGAAGGGAAGTCGGTGGGCGTACAACGACAGTATCTCCCTCAGTGGGAATATCATTGTCCTTGCAGAACTCAAGCGTCTTGGTGTCAACGCAAGCTTCTTCGGGAATGTCATCCAATCAGGTAGCTTGTTGTTCAAGCACGTAAGACGCTTCATTCAGTCAGGTGCCATGTGATTCTATTGTTCACTCTGTGAATAACTGGTTCATTTGATCAGGTGTCACCATTCAGTTAGTAAGTAGGCCACTCAGTCACCATTCAGTTAGTAAGATGGCCACTCAGTCACCATTCAGTTAGTAAGATGGCCACTCAGTCACCAGTGAGTTAGTAAGTTGGCCACTCAGTCACCATTGAGTTAGTAAGTTGGCCACTCAGTCACCATTGAGTTAGTAAGTTGGCCACTCAGTCACCATTGAGTTAGTAAGTTGGCCACTCAGTCACCATTGAGTTAGTAAGTTGGCCACTCAGTCACCATTGAGTTAGTAAGTTGGCCACTCAGTCACCATTGAGTTAGTAAGTTGGCCACTCAGTCACCATTGAGTTAGTAAGTTGGCCACTCAGTCACCATTGAGTTAGTAAGTTGGCCACCAGTCACCATTGAGTTAGTAAGATGGCCACTCAGTCACCATTGAGTTAGTAAGATGGCCACTCAGTCACCATTGAGTTAGTAAGATGGCCACACCAGTCAGTCACCATTGAGTTAGTAAGTTGGCCACTCAGTCACCATTGAGTTAGTAAGTTGGCCACTCAGTCACCATTGAGTTAGTAAGTTGGCCACTCAGTCACCATTGAGTTAGTAAGTTGGCCACTCAGTCACCATTGAGTTAGTAAGTTGGCCACTCAGTCACCATTGAGTTAGTAAGTTGGCCACTCAGTCACCATTGAGTTAGTAAGTTGGCCACTCAGTCACCATTGAGTTAGTAAGATGGCCACTCAGTCACCATTGAGTTAGTAAGATGGCCACTCAGTCACCATTGAGTTAGTAAGATGGCCACTCAGTCACCATTGAGTTAGTAAGTTGGCCACTCAGTCACCATTGAGTTAGTAAGATGGCCACTCAGTCACCATTGAGTTAGTAAGATGGCCACTCAGTCACCATTGAGTTAGTAAGATGGCCACTCAGTCACCATTGAGTTAGTAAGATGGCCACTCAGTCACCATTGAGTTAGTAAGTTGGCCACTCAGTCACCATTGAGTTAGTAAGTTGGCCACTCAGTCACCATTGAGTTAGTAAGATGGCCACTCAGTCACCATTGAGTTAGTAAGATGGCCACTCAGTCACCAGTGAGTTAGTAAGTTGGCCACTCAGTCACCATTGAGTTAGTAAGATGGCCACTCAGTCACCATTGAGTTAGTAAGATGGCCACTCAGTCACCATTGAGTTAGTAAGTTGGCCACTCAGTCACCATTGAGTTAGTAAGTTGGCCACTCAGTCACCATTGAGTTAGTAAGTTGGCCACTCAGTCACCATTGAGTTAGTAAGATGGCCACTCAGTCACCATTGAGTTAGTAAGTTGGCCACTCAGTCACCATTGAGTTAGTAAGATGGCCACTCAGTCACCATTGAGTTAGTAAGTTGGCCACTCAGTCACCATTGAGTTAGTAAGATGGCCACTCAGTCACCATTGAGTTAGTAAGATGGCCACTCAGTCACCATTGAGTTAGTAAGATGGCCACTCAGTCACCATTGAGTTAGTAAGATGGCCACTCAGTCACCATTGAGTTAGTAAGTTGGCCACTCAGTCACCATTGAGTTAGTAAGTTGGCCACTCAGTCACCATTGAGTTAGTAAGTTGGCCACTCAGTCACCATTGAGTTAGTAAGTTGGCCACTCAGTCACCATTGAGTTAGTAAGATGGCCACTCAGTCACCATTGAGTTAGTAAGTTGGCCACTCAGTCACCATTGAGTTAGTAAGATGGCCACTCAGTCACCATTGAGTTAGTAAGATGGCCACTCAGTCACCATTGAGTTAGTAAGTTGGCCACTCAGTCACCATTGAGTTAGTAAGATGGCCACTCAGTCACCAGTGAGTTAGTAAGTTGGCCACTCAGTCACCATTGAGTTAGTAAGTTGGCCACTCAGTCACCATTGAGTTAGTAAGATAGCCACTCAGTCACCATTGAGTTAGTAAGATAGCCACTCAGTCACCATTGAGTTAGTAAGTTGGCCACTCAGTCACCATTGAGTTAGTAAGATAGCCACTCAGTCACCATTGAGTTAGTAAGTTGGCCACTCAGTCACCATTGAGTTAGTAAGATGGCCACCAGTCACCATTGAGTTAGTAAGTTGGCCACTCAGTCACCATTGAGTTAGTAAGATGGCCACTCAGTCACCAGTGAGTTAGTAAGTTAGCCACTCAGTCACCATTGAGTTAGTAAGTTGGCCACTCAGTCACCATTGAGTTAGTAAGTTGGCCACTCAGTCACCATTGAGTTAGTTAGTAAGTCACACTGAGTTAGTAAGTTCAGTCACCAGTGAGTTAGTAAGTTGGCCACTCAGTCACCATTGAGTTAGTAAGTTGGCCACTGGCCACTCAGTCACCATTGAGTTAGTAAGTTGGCCACTCAGTCACCAGTGAGTTAGTAAGAGAGTTAATGCCACTCAGTCACCATTGAGTTAGTAAGATGGCCACCAGTCACCATTGAGTTAGTAAGTTGGCCACTCAGTCACCATTGAGTTAGTAAGATGGCCACCAGTCACCATTGAGTTAGTAAGATGGCCCACCAGTCACCATTGAGTTAGTAAGATGGCCACTCAGTCACCATTGAGTTAGTAAGATTGGCCACTCAGTCACCATTGAGTTAGTAAGATGGCCACTCAGTCACCATTGAGTTAGTAAGATGGCCACTCAGTCACCATTGAGTTAGTAAGTTGGCCACTCAGTCACCATTGAGTTAGTAAGATGGCCACTCAGTCACCATTGAGTTAGTAAGTTGGCCACTCAGTCACCATTGAGTTAGTAAGATTGGCCACTCCAGTCACCATTGAGTTAGTAAGTTGGCCACTCAGTCACCATTGAGTTAGTAAGTTGGCCACTCAGTCACCAGTGAGTTAGTAAGATGGCCACTCCAGTCACCATTGAGTTAGTAAGTTGGCCACTCAGTCACCATTGAGTTAGTAAGGCCACTCAGTCCACTCAGTCACCAGTCACCATTAGTTAAGATAGCCACCAGTCACCATTGAGTTAGTAAGTTGGCCACCAGTCACCATTGAGTTAGTAAGATGGCCCACTCAGTCACCATTGAGTTAGTAAGTTGGCCAGTCAGTCCCAGTGAGTTAGTAAGTTGGCCACTCAGTCACCAGTGAGTTAGTAAGTTGGCCACTCAGTCACCATTGAGTTAGTAAGATGGCCACTCAGTCACCATTGAGTTAGTAAGATGGCCACCAGTCACCATTGAGTTAGTAAGTTGGCCACTCAGTCACCATTGAGTTAGTAAGATAGCCACTCAGTCACCATTGAGTTAGTAAGTTAGCCACTCAGTCACCATTGAGTTAGTAAGTTGGCCACTCAGTCACCATTGAGTTAGTAAGATAGGCCACTCAGTCACCATTGAGTTAGTAAGATAGCCACTCAGTCACCATTGAGTTAGTAAGTTGGCCACTCAGTCACCATTGAGTTAGTAAGTTGGCCACTCAGTCACCATTGAGTTAGTAAGTTGGCCACTCAGTCACCAGTGAGCTAGTAAGTTGGCCACTCAGTCACCATTGAGTTAGTAAGTTGGCCACTCAGTCACCATTGAGTTAGTAAGATGGCCACTCAGTCACCATTGAGTTAGTAAGATGGCCACTCAGTCACCATTGAGTTAGTAAGATGGCCACCCATTGGAGTCACCATTGAGTTAGTAAGTAAGTGGCCACCAGTCACCATTGAGTTAGTAAGATGGCCACTCAGTCACCATTGAGTTAGTAAGTTGGCCACTCAGTCACCAGTGAGTTAGTAAGATGGCCACTCAGTCACCATTGAGTTAGTAAGTTGGCCACTCAGTCACCAGTGAGTTAGTAAGTTAGGTTGGCACCCAGTCACCATTGAGTTAGTAAGTTGGCCACCAGTCACCATTGAGTTAGTAAGATGGCCACCAGTCACCATTGAGTTAGTAAGATGGACACTCAGTCACCATTGAGTTAGTAAGATGGCCACTCAGTCACCATTGAGTTAGTAAGATGGCCACTCAGTCACCATTGAGTTAGTAAAGATGGCCACTCAGTCACCATTGAGTTAGTAAGATGGCCACTCAGTCACCATTGAGTTAGTAAGTTGGCCACTCAGTCACCATTGAGTTAGTAAGATGGCCACTCAGTCACCATTGAGTTAGTAAGTTGGCCACTCAGTCACCATTGAGTTAGTAAGATGGCCACTCAGTCACCATTGAGTTAGTAAGATGGCCACTCAGTCACCATTGAGTTAGTAAGTTGGCCACCAGTCACCATTGAGTTAGTAAGATGGCCACCAGTCAACCATTGAGTTGGCACCAGTTGAGTTAGTAAGTAAGATGGCCACTCAGTCACCATTGAGTTTGTAAGTTTCCACTCAGTCACCAGTGAGTTAGTAAGTTGGCCACCAGTCACCATTGAGTTAGTAAGATGGCCACTCAGTCACCAGTGAGTTAGTAAGTTTGCCACTCAGTCACCAGTGAGTTAGTAAGTTGGCCACTCAGTCACCATTGAGTAAGATGGCCACCAGTCACCATTGAGTTAGTAAGTTGGCCACTCAGTCACCATTGAGTTTGGTAAGTAAGATGAGTTAGTAAGATGGCCACCAGTCACCATTGAGTTAGTAAGTTGGCCACCAGTCACCATTGAGTTAGTAAGTTGGCCACTCAGTCACCAGTGAGTTAGTAAGATTGGCCACTCAGTCACCATTGAGTTAGTAGAGCTGGCCCTCAGTCACCAGTGAGTTAGTAAGTTGGCCACTCAGTCACCATTGAGTTAGTAAGTTGGCCACTCAGTCACCAGTGAGTTAGTAAGATGGCCACTCGAGGCACCACTGATGAGTTAGTAGGTTGGCCTTATCACCATTGAGTTAGTAAGTTGGCCACTCAGTCACCATTGAGTTAGTAAGTTAGCCACTCAGTCACCATTGAGTTAGTAAGATGGCCACCAGTCACCAGTGAGTTAGTAAGTTGGCCACTCAGTCACCATTGAGTTAGTAAGATGGCCACCAGTCACCATTGAGTTAGTAAGATGGACAATCAGTCACCATTGAGTTAGTAAGTTGGCCACTCAGTCACCATTGAGTTAGTAAGATGGCCACCCAGTCACCAGTGAGTTAGTAAGTTGGCCACCAGTCACCATTGAGTTAGTAAGTTGGCCACCCAGTTGAGTTAGTAAGTTAGCCACCCAGTCACCATTGAGTTGAGTTAGTAAGCAAGATGGCCACTCAGTCACCATTGAGTTAGTAAGTTGGCAGTCACCATTGAGTAAGTTGGCCACAGTCCCATTGAGTTAGTAAGTTGGCCACTCAGTCACCATTGAGTTAGTAAGATGGCCACTCAGTCACCATTGAGTTAGTAAGATGGCCACTCAGTCACCATTGAGTTAGTAAGATGGCCACTCAGTCACCATTGAGTTAGTAAGATGGCCCACTCAGTCACCATTGAGTTAGTAAGATGGCCACTCAGTCACCATTGAGTTAGTAAGATGGCCACCAGTCACCATTGAGTTAGTAAGTTGGACCTCAGTCACCATTGAGTTAGTAAGTGAAAGTTAGTAGAATGGCCACTCAGTCACCATTGAGTTAGTAAGTTGGCCACTCAGTCACCATTGAGTAAGTACACTCAGCCTAGGGAGTTAGTAAGTTGGCCACTCAGTCACCATTGAGTTAGTAAGTTGGCCACTCAGTCACCATTGAGTTAGTAAGTTGGCCACTCAGTCACCATTGAGTTAGTAAGATGGCCACTCAGTCACCATTGAGTTAGTAAGTTGGCCACTCAGTCACCAGTGAGTTAGTAAGCTGGCCACTCAGTCACCATTGAGTTAGTAAGATGGCCACCAGTCACCAGTGAGTTAGTAAGTACCAGAGTTAATAAGTTGGCCACCAGTCACCAGAGTTAGTAGTTGAGTCACCATTGAGTTGTAGGATACCACCAGTCACCATTGAGTTAGTAAGTTGGACACTCAGTCACCATTGAGTTAGTAAGTTGGCCACTCAGTCACCATTGAGTTAGTAAGTTGGCCACTCAGTCACCATTGAGTTAGTAAGTTGGCCACCAGTCACCATTGAGTTAGTAAGATTACCACTCAGTCACCATTGAGTTAGTGTGGCAGCTCAGTCAGTTAGCCACTCAGTCACCATTGAGTTAGTAAGATGTAGCCACTCAGTCACCATTGAGTTAGTAAGTTGGGCCACTCAGTCACCATTGAGTTAGTAAGTTGGCCACTCAGTCACCAGTGAGTTAGTAAGTTGGCCACCAGTCACCATTGAGTTAGTAAGTTGAGTTAGTAAGTTGGCCACCAGTCACCAGTGTGAGTTAGTAAGTTGGCCACTCAGTCACCATTGAGTTAGTATGGTTGGCCACTCAGTCACCATTGAGTTAGTAAGATAGCCACTCAGTCACCATTGAGTTAGTAAGATGGCCACTCAGTCACCATTGAGTTAGTAAGATGGACACTCAGTCACCATTGAGTTAGTAAGTTGGCCACTCAGTCACCATTGAGTTAGTAAGATTGGCCACCAGTCACCATTGAGTTAGTAAGTTGGCCACTCAGTCACCAGTGAGTTAGTAAGATGGCCACTCAGTCACCATTGAGTTAGTAAGTTGGCCACTCAGTCACCATTGAGTTAGTAAGATGTAGCCACTCAGTCACCATTGAGTTAGTAAGATGGCCACCAGTCACCATTGAGTTAGTAAGTTGGCCACCAGTCACCATTGAGTTAGTAAGATGGCCACTCAGTCACCATTGAGTTAGTAAGTTGGGCCGCCAGTCACCATTGAGTTAGTAAGATGGCCACTCAGTCACCATTGAGTTAGTAAGTTGGCCACTCAGTCACCATTGAGTTAGTAAGTTGGCCACCAGTCACCATTGAGTTAGTAAGATGGCCACTCAGTCACCAGTGAGTTAGTAAGTTGGCCACTCAGTCACCATTGAGTTAGTAAGATGGCTTTCACTCAGTCACCAGTTGAGTTAGTAAGTTGGCCACCAGTCACCAGTGAGTTAGTAACGATCAGTCACCATTGAGTTTGTTGGCCACCAGTCACCATTGAGTTAGTAAGCTGGCCACCACTCAGTCACCATTGAGTTAGTAAGTTGGCCACCAGTCACCAGTGAGTTAAGTAAGTTGGCCACTCAGAGTCCACCATTGAGTTAGTAAGATGGACACTCAGTCACCATTGAGTTAGTAAGATGGCCACCAGTCACCATTGAGTTAGTAAGTTGGCCACTCAGTCACCATTGAGAGTTAGTAAGATTGGCCACTCAGTCACCATTGAGTTAGTAAGATGGCCACCAGTCACCCATTAAGTTAGTCAAGAGTTAGTAAGATGGTCAGTCACCATTGAGTTAGTAATGATGGGCCACTCAGAGTCACCATTGAGTTAGTAAGTTGGCCCACTCAGTCACCATTGAGTTAGTAAGATGGCCACCAGTCACCATTGAGTTAGTAAGTTGGCCACCAGTCACCATTGAGTTAGTAAGTTGGCCACTCAGTCACCATTGAGTTAGTAAGAGTGGCCACCAGTCACCATTGAGTTAGTAAGTTGGCCACTTCAGTCACCAGTTGTAAGGTGGTCACCTCAGTGGCCATTGAGTTAGTAAGATGGCCACTCAGGCAGCCAGGTTGAAGTTAGTGGCTGTCCACCCAGCAGGCCACCATCAGTCACCATTGAGTTAGTAAGTTGGCCAATCCACTTTAGTCACCATAGTGAGTTAGTAAGATGGCCACCAGTCACCATTGAGTTAGTAAGCTGGCCCACCAGTCACCATTGAGGTTAGGTAAGATGGCCACCCAGTAGTCACCAACAGCAGTTAGTAAGATGGCCACCAGTCACCCAGTGAGTACCTCAGTAAGTTGGCCACTCAGTCACACTGACTTAGTCAGCTGGCCAGTTAAGTACCGCAGTAGTACTCCAGTCACCAGTTGTCAGTTAGGTGGCAGTCCACTCAGTCACTCAACAATGAAGTTCAGTAAAGTTGCAGTCCAGACTGGTACCACCAGTCACCAGTGAGTTAGTAAGATGGCCACTCAGTCACCATTGAGTTAGTAACAGCAGTTGGTAAGGGTGGCCTCAGTCACCATTGAGTTAGTAAGATGGCCACCAGGCACCATTGAGTTAGTAAGTTGGCCACTCTAGTCACCATTGAGTTAGGTAAGTTGGCCACTCAGTCACCAGCAGGTTGTCAGGTAGGTGGCTCAGTCCACCTCAGTAGTAGTACCAACAGCAGGTTAGTCAGGTAGGTGGCAGTCCATCACCATTGAGTACTCAACAGCAGGTTGTTGCCACCAGTGCACCAGTAGTAAAATGGCCACCAGTCACCATTCAGGTAGGTGGCTGGCCACCCTGGCCCAGTACTCAACAGCAGGTTGTCAGGTCCAGTAGTACTCAACAGCAGGTTGTCAGGTAGGTGGCAGTCCACCCAGTAGTACTCAACAGCAGGTTGTCAGGTAGGTGGCAGTCCACCCTTAGTACTCAACAGCAGGTTGTCGGGTAGGTGGCAGTCCACCCAGTAGTACTCAACAGCAGGTTGTCGGGTAGGTGGCAGTCCACCCAGTAGTACTCAACAGCAGGTTGTCAGGTAGGTGGCAGTCCACCCAGTAGTACTCAACAGCAGGTTGTCAGGTAGGTGGCAGTCCACCCAGTAGTACTCAACAGCAGGTTGTCAGGTAGGTGGCAGTCCACCCAGTAGTACTCAACAGCAGGTTGTCAGGTAGGTGGCTGTCCACCCAGTAGTACTCAACAGCAGGTTGTCAGGTAGGTGGCAGTCCACCCAGTAGTACTCAACAGCAGGTTGTCAGGTAGGTGGCAGTTCACCCAGTAGTACTCAACAGCAGGTTGTCAGGTAGGTGGCAGTCCTCCCAGTAGTACTCAACAGCAGGTTGTCGGGTAGGTGGCAGTCCACCCGGTAGTACTCAACAGCAGGTTGTCAGGTAGGTGGCAGTCCACCCAGTAGTACTTGTCAGGTACAGCAGTCCACCCTTTAGTACCAGTCAACAGCAGGTTGTTGGGTAGGTGGCAGTGCACCCAGTAGTACTCAACAGCAGGTTGTCAGGTAGGTGACAGTCCACCCTTTAGTACTCAACAGCAGGTTGTTGGGTAGGTGGCAGTTGTCCCGTATGTGGCAGTCCACCCAGTAGTACTCAACAGCAGGTTGTCAGGTAGGTGGCAGTCCACCCTTTAGTACTCAACAGCAGGTTGTCAGGTAGGTGGCAGTCCACCCTTTAGTACTCAACAGCAGGTTGTCAGGTAGGTGGCAGTCCACCCTTTAGTACTCAACAGCAGGTTGTCAGGTAGGTGGCAGTCCACCCTGTAGTACTCAACAGCAGGTTGTCAGGTAGGTGGCAGTCCACCCAGCAGGTTGTCGGGTAGGTGGCAGTCCACCCAGTAGTACTCAACAGCAGGTTGTCGGGTAGGTGGCAGTCCACCCAGTAGTACTCAACAGCAGGTTGTCAGGGTAGGTGGCAGTCCACCCAGTAGTACTCAACAGCAGGTTGTTGGGTAGGTGGCAGTACCACCCTTTAGTACTCAACAGCAGGTTGTTGGGTAGGTGGCAGTACACCCTTTAGTACTCAACAGCAGGTTGTTGGGTAGGTGGCAGTCCACCCAGTAGTACTCAACAACAGGTTGTCAGGTAGGTGGCAATGCAGAGTTGTGTCCCTTATTTCACAGTACAGAATTGTGTCCCTTAGTTCATGGTGCAGAATTGTCCCTTTTTTCATAGTGCAGAGCTATGTCCCTTGTTTCATGGTGCAGAGTTGTGTCCCTTTTTTCACAGTATAGAGTTATGCCCCTTATTTCATGGTGCAGAGTTGTGTCCCTTATTTCACAGTGCACAGTTATGTCCCTTAGTTCACAGTACAGAGTTGTGTCCCTTATTTCACAGTGCAGAGTTTTGGCCCTTATTTCACAGTGCAGAGTTGTGTCCCTTATTTCACAGTACAGAGTTGTGTCCCTTATTTCACAGTACAGAGTTGTGTCCCTTATTTCACAGTACAGAGTTTTGGCCCTTATTTCACAGTGCACAGTTATGTCCCTTTTTTCACTCTGTGTAACGTGGGCTGATGTGATGTGGGTCTTATAGTTGTTACAGAAAACCTTCAATATTCCATCTGGAGCAAATCTGTACACATGACCCCATATACCTTTGATGCTTCAGCGAGCTGTCTTTCTTGCACTCCTAGGTAGAAGAGAGATAAAGATATAATCCTTGATCAAACTATTGCAAAACAAGATACTTCTCAAAACAAGACCTAGATTTATTGGAATTGAGGGGTAAGCTCTTCAAGGGTTCAAGTGTCTAATTCTGTAACTTATGTCTGGACTTGTCACCTAACGACAGCATCTTGGGGCCTTGCCACCCTTTACCGGATGTGGTGCCTACAGACATCGTGCCTACTGACGTGCTACTATAAACATCCACAAACAGGACCCAAGGAATGTAGCCTCTGTCTGAAGTTTAATTATGTCATTATGTTGTATAAAGGGAATGTGTCAGTTCTTGTCATATTCCGGTTTCAGCTGAAATGAAAGAGAAGATCACTAATGCTTTTCTGGAAGTGAGCAAATCTAAAGAGTGGAGTGAGAAGTTCCGATCTGTGAACATCCTGGGCTACACCCCAGTTGACATGATGCTGTACAACCGCGAGACGGAGATTGTGGACCAGGTCAAGAATATGACTATATCTGCTGCCTACTACTGAGTGCTGGACCTGGCCACCTTGTCTGTCACTGGACACAGCTGCTCTGTTGTGGGACAGATGGCACTGGTAGTTGCTGACAGACTGGTAGACTTGTCAGACACAGCAGAACCATCTCCCCTAATAGTGAAATGTCAAAAATTAAAGGTACAAAAATAAATATCTAGTAAAACTTTCAGCTGATATTGATGAAAAACGATGCAATTTTCTTTGGAAAATAAAATGTTAATTTGACAGGGGAATAGTTTAGCAAAATTAATTGTTGCCCACAAGTGTGGCCTCCTTATCTGAATACTTTTGAGAGTTCAGGCTGCTTGTGACAATCTGCAGGTATTTGCTGTGATGCTTTAAGTAGACAGGAGTTTCATGTGAAGACTGACAGTTTTAGTTCAACGAGGCTTGTTGAGTCGTGTTTTGAGATATTTTAGAGAAAGTTATTACATCATATACTTCTTTAGTTGAGTAGTTCATTGGTGTAGCCACCAGAATCCACTCCACAAAGATAGTGCTACGACTATATTCCCATCTGAGACAATAGTTGTAGCACAAACATGACTTTAACACTGACTTGAAAGAGTTGTAGTGCTAAGAGTTCCATACAGAGCAGGGCCCTGTGAAGGTTCTGTTATTTATGACCTGAACTCGAAGATTGTTATGTCTCTAGGTGTTTGTGAATGTTTCATAGAGATCTCATTTGCTGCAAATGTCTCATTATTGAGATGTAGAAGTGAGATCTCCGACCTGTCTAACATATGTTGTATCTGCACACGTATTGTTAACTCTAAAGTTGTTACGTGGTGAGATTTACAAAGTTGTTAACATCATATTGTGTATTCACTTGATATATGTAAGACAATATTAATATATGATATTTTAATATTATCTTTATGGATCAGTTTTATTAGCATTTGACGAACATATTTAGTTACTTTTACTGAATTATTGAAATGTGTGACTGCTACCAAAAACTTAGACTTGGAATTAGAAACAGGAAGTAGTGTTTACCCTGTGTTACCTGTTGGAGTACCACACGTCTTGTGACTTGTCCTACTCAGACATTGCTCTCAGTCTGTTCTGGCATAGTGAAACAATGGCAGCTTGCCATCCTTTTGTTGAGCAGAGTTATTTTTCTCACTACATCACTCCTTTGAGACATACTTTGTCTACAGATTAATTGTTTGTTTTGTCCGCTACTAATATCATTATTACTCACAGGATATTTATGCAGGTAATAAGGTTTAGATGTTGTTTATTGTTACAAATATATTGAAATATGGCCACAAACTGTCTGTATGTTTGATCTGGGGGTGAAACGGTATGCTTTGGTACTAGTAGAACTGTGGTATGTTGTCTTTGGTTTGGCAGGGACCATATACCAAGGGATGGGCCTCAGAGCTAATTAGGAACTTATCACTGTCGCGCGAGACAAAGCGATAATTACTGCAAGGCTTTGCGAGATCTGCGAGATTCGAAGGCTCGGTATATGGTGTCTAGGTTCAGTTTACTGTAATGCAATCCAAAAATTCGGCATCACTTTATTAACCTTTTTAAACCTTTTCTAAAATGTCAAGAAATTGAATAATTTTGTCAAAATCTGTCAAGGTTTGGCTTTTGTTGTCAATTTTCTGCATTATGATCATATCTCATAGCCCGAAACAAAACGGACCAAACCGAACCGAAGGTACCGTGGTAAGAGCGTACTGTTTCACCCCTACTGTACCGTGGTAAGAGTGTACTGTTTCACCCCTACTGTACCGTGGTAAGAGTGTACTGTTTCACCCCTACTGTACCGTGGTAAGAGTGTACTGTTTCACCCCTACTGTACCGTGGTAAGAGTGTACTGTTTCACCCCTACTGTACCGTGGTAAGAGTGTACTGTTTCACCCCTACTGTACCGTGGTAAGAGTGTACTGTTTCACCCCTACTGTACCGTGGTAAGAGTGTACTGTTTCACCCCTACTGTACCGCGGGTAAGGTAAGAGTGTACTGTTTCACCCCTACTGTACCGTGGTAAGAGTGTACTGTTTCACCCTCTACTGTACCGCGGTAAGAGTGTACTGTTTCACCCCTACTGTACTGTACCGTGGTAAGAGTGTACTGTTTCACCCCTACCGTACCGTACCGCGGTAAGAGTGTGCTGTTTCACCCCTACTGTAGTGGTAAGAGTGTACTGTTTCACCCCTACTGTACCGCGGGTAAGAGTGTACTGTTTCACCCCTACTGTACCGTGGTAAGAGTGTACTGTTTCACCCCTACTGTACCGTGGTAAGAGTGTACTGTTTCACCCCTACTGTACCGTGGTAAGAGTGTACTGTTTCACCCCTACCGTACCGCGTAAGAGTGTACTGTTTCACCCCTACTGTACCGCGGTAAGAGTGTACTGTTTCACCCCTACTGTACCGCGGTAAGAGCCGTTGTCACCCCTACTGTACCGTAAAGAGTGTACTGTTTCACCCCTACTGTACCGTGGTAAGAGTGTACTGTTTCACCCCTACTGTACCGTGTACCGCGGGGTAAGAGTGTACTGTTTCACCCCTACTGTACCGTACCGTGGTAAGAGTGTACTGTTTCACCCCTACTGTACCGCGGTGGTAGTGTACTGTTTCACCCCTACCGTATCCGCGGTGGTAAGAGTGTACCGCGGGTAAGAGTGTACTGTTTCACCCCTACTGTACCGTGGTAAGAGTGTACTGTTTCACCCCTACTGTACCGTGGTAAGAGTGTACTGTTTCACCCCTACTGTACCGTGGTAAGAGTGTACTGTTTCACCCCTACTGTACCGTGCGGGTGGTAAGACCCCTACTGTGTACTGTTTCCCCCCTACCGTACCGTGGTAAGAGTGTACTGTTTCACCCCTACTGTACCGTGGTAAGAGTGTTTCACCCCTACTGTACCGTGGTAAGAGTGTACTGTTTCACCCCTACTGTACCGTGGTAAGAGTGTACTGTTTCACCCCTACTGTACCGTGGTAAGAGTGTACTGTTTCACCCCTACTTTGGTGTATTTTTGTGTCAACCGGGTCAAAACGACCTCCTGATCTTTGGTGCCTCATGACAACATTCCAGCAGATTTGAGATATTTCATGTAGAAAGTATTTTTATACCCTTGAAGTATATTCTGAAGTCTTTCAATTGTCAGGGAGTGCTTGGTGAACATGGAATACATGATGTGTACATTACATGATTCTCACTGATCATATAAAGCAAGGTACAGATCAGGGGCAATTACTCTAACGTGGGTTATTTTGTACTTCTCGTGTTTGTAGAGGGTTGAGGCTTTCTGTGCCATTCATTGGATTGTCAACGGGAAATGTGGCTTGGGGCTTAGCGACCATGGTGTTCTGTGGAGGAAAGTTCTGGAGAAAAGGTTCCATGTCAGTACTGTTTTCCTTAAATATGTTTATGGTTTGGTTTAAGGGAATTGTTTGACTTTCAAGATTATTTAAGGGAATCATCCAAATCTTGAATCTGTGTGTTATCAGGGTATACTTCCGAGGAAGTAGTTCTGATGGCTGGGTATGTACTTCCATCCAGGTTCCTCGGCTAAACTCAGCAGAGCCCCTGCTGTTGTCTATACTAGTATCACACAACATCTACCTGGCTTGATGCTAATGTTTAGTCAGAGATATTTGACCTTAATAAAGTGATATTGTATGTATTATTTCCAAATTATGATCTGTGTTTCAAACTTCTTGTTCACTATACCTTCTGCACGTTACCTGCAAAAATCAGAACTGTGTCGTCATGGTGGTCTGTCATTGAGACAAGTGCTTGAAAACATTGTTACATGATTAGTATTGAATATGTCCTGGAATAACCCATTTTTCAGCTTCACGTGAAACAAGTTCGAGTTTGCAAACACTATGTCTTGACAGTGTGGTTGAGACAGGGTCTTACTTGTGTTCAAGGGACTTACAGGGTGATGACACATGTCAAACATTGCTTCTGTAACCTGGCTCTGCACTCAGATGTGTATTGTCTCATAATCGGATGCACCTCACGCATACGGCATATCATGATGTACGTCACGCATACGGCATATCATGATGCACGTCACGCATACGGCATATCATGATGCACCTTGTACTCACAGGTTCTGTGTTTTTATGTTATTTTGTTTATGGAGAATGCGATATATTATTTTTTATGCACTTAAATCAACAGAATTTGTCTTTTGTACCTAAGAATTGATTATTGCAGTATTTGTCTTGTTGGATATTTTGTTTGTTTAGAATTTTCTTAGAATTTTGTTATTGTGCAATCACTCCATGTCTTGGAGTCTAGTTAAACCTAAGCACCGAAGACCAGAAGTTGTGGCCATGCAGCCAGTGTCCAGGGCTAAACACCAGAAACATGCTCCAGCTCAGTCTGGTTTACAACTGACCACTGGACAACAACCTCTGAGTTAACAAGCTTTCCCTGTCTAGTAAAATTTAATAAGGCCAGACCAATTTTATTTCGGATTTTTGTCCTCAGAAAACCTAAAGGCAGGAGCGAAAAGAAAGAAGAAAATCACCAGTCAAACGAAAACCCACATGAGTTTTTTTAAAGGCATTGTCTTTCAAGTTCACACTCACTTAGGTGCTCGAGGCACTGATTTCTAACACAAATATTGTTAGATAATCCAGGTTAAAGTCTCTGAAAATAAAATACCGGTGTTTTAGTGTCCAACAAACTGCCTTGCATAGTCAAGTCGCACTCCAGTATATCTTAACATTCGATTTTATTTTTTTTGAGTGGGGAATTTTTTTTTCTTTCTTCTCATTCTTGAAAAAATACAACTGGCGGATCAGTTAAGCAATCAATAAAATTGGTCTGGCCTAAACAATACAGGGACTCAAACTAACTGACAAAACCGTTTTGATTTCTGCCGCACCTGGTATCGTCATGTGTAAATGAAATAAAATTAATTTTAATGCCACATTTGTTTTCTTTAATTTATGCTCTACCTTCCTCGGGTAATCCAGGGTATTACCTTGACATGCTATTATTTTAAATACCCAGGACCCATTCTCCAACACGGCTTTGTATTGAAAGTCACCAAATCTAACTGTCTGTCTGTCACAAGCTCAGCCTCATGCTGTTGATCACTGGATTGTCTGGTCCAGACTCGATTATTTACAGACCGCCGCCATATAGCTGCAATATTGCTGAGTGCGGCGTAAAACTAAGCTCACTCACTCACTCAAGCTCAGCACAGGGTCAGTCAAATATAAGTGAAGTTGTTTGTCCAGGGTGTAAACACTCTAGCAATGGAGGATGGTAGAGGACGGCAGTGATAGTGCAGACTGTGTCTTTGTCAAGTTGACTAAACATAAAACCATTTGACCATATGCATCCTGTATCAAAGAACTTTGGAGCTATTTTCTTCTGTCAACATGAGCATGGTTGAGGAAATTAAATAAGTTTTAAATTTATTATTGTGATTGAGTCCGCTTGACCCAGCTTGTAAACCTAATTAAAGGTCAGAATGTGGTTTTCGTGTACTGACCCAAGTTTCGGGATCAGTGGGATCAATCAATGATCAATCATTGGTTGTAATCAATCATCAGAACATTGCTGCACCAGATAAACCAGGTATAACATGTATAATCTGTACAACATATACTACATGTACACATACAATCCATACATACGACCCAGCAAAACTTTACACTCACTAGTGTAAATGTAGCCACCTACTTCAGTCAACTGTTCTAAACTAGATTTTGCAAAATATTCCATACTGTTTAAAGGTAATTTACACATGAACTGATGTATAGTGAAACAAATTCGTAACGTTGAAAAGAATATTGTCATGAGTTCAATAAATGATGGAAGTCAGTGAAAATTGGTGAATTCGTAACAAAACTTTACACCATAACGCAGCTGTTCACATGCACGATATTTACACATGCTTTACAGCATTTTGATGCATGATCCTTGTGCAATTCATCTGCATAAGGTTTGCAGTCGGTTCCCCCAAGTTAGTGGAGAACTTCATCTTTGATGTAACCATATATACATACATAACATATAGTGAGTGCTTTAAGTGAGTCTAAACTTTTGATGGAAAGTATAGCTTGTGGTATATATACAACATATATAACATATGGACAATCTATGGCAGAATGAATAATTAATATTGTGGTACGTATAAACAAAGTGTTGTTAACAAACTAACATACAAGGAAGTCAAAATACATGTAAAGGTGTGTAAATCTCTAACAAAGTCAAGTAATGAGACTGTAAACAGATTATTTAACCAGTGTGGAAGTCACTCGATCAAGTCTGTCAACAACACTGCCTATAAAACTAGGTCCAACAAGTCAGCCTGACGCAGACAGTAGTTCCAATGTTGACCTCACGTCACGCTGGACATAACACACCTCCCTGGGCTGCAAGTGCTGGAGTCCTCAAGTCACTATGGCCCTTGATACTGAACCCCAGGTCAGGCGACATCCAGATCATGTGACACCCTGGGCATGTGATCTCGAGGGTACATGACCACCAGGGTATGTGACCCACAGGCCAGCTGATGTCACTGGTTATGTGACCACTAGGCTAGGTGATCTCCTGGTGTATGTGACCCCTAGGCTAAGTGATCTGGTGTATGTGACCCCCAGGCCAGGTGACCTCCCGGTGTACGTGACCCCTAGGCTAGGTGATCTGGTGTATGTGACCACAAGGCTAAGTTATCTCCTGGTATATGTGACCCCAAGGCTAAGTGATCTGGTGTATGTGACCCCAAGGCTAAGTGATCTCCTGGTGTATGTGACCCCAAGGCTAGGTGATCTGGTGTATGTGACCCCAAGGGTAAGTGATCTCCTGGTGTATGTGACCCCAAGGCTAAGTGATCTCCTGGTGTATCTGACCCCAAGGCTAAGTGATCTCCTGGTGTATGTGACCCCAAGGCTAAGTGATCTCCTGGTGTATCTGACCCCAAGGCTAGGTGATCTGGTGTATGTGACCCCAAGGCTAAGTGATCTCCTGATGTATGTGATCCCAAGGCTAAGTGATCTCCTGGTGTATGTGATCCCAAGGCTAAGTGATCTCCTGGTGTATGTGACCCCAAGGCTAAGTGATCTCCTGGTGTATGTGACCCCAAGGCTAAGTGATCTCCTGGTGTATGTGACCCCAAGGCTAGGTGATCTGGTGTATGTGACCCCAAGGCTAGGTGATCTCCCTGGTATCCCCACATTTGGTGCCTCCCTGTAATCCTGTCCTTCACAGCATGTCGTCATCCAAGATGGCTTCCTTGCAAGTGACCCTAGACTAGATGACCTCACATGTCTGGTGATGTCCAGGAGCAGGTGCCTCCCTGTAATCCTGTCCATCACAGCTATCTAGGCCTATACAGCATGTCGTCATCCAAGATGGCTTCCTTGCAAGTGATCCCAGACTAGATGACCTCACATGTATGGTGATATCCAGGAGCAGGTGACTCCCTCTAGCCCTGTCCTTCACAGCTATCTAGGCCTATACAGCATGTCGTCATCCAAGATGGCCTTCCTTGCATGTGGCCTTCGCTTGTACTGGTCAGGGTCATCAAGGCGATAAGAAGCTACACTAGTTGGCCGGTCATCCACTGCAGCCTCAATGGCTATGATGGCTGCCTGAGCTTCAGGACTGATGTTGTGCACGTCCCCAGCAAGTATGTCCTGAACGGCACGCATCATCTGCTTGACCTCCTCCAGCCGGGTGACAGTCTGTGGACAAAACAAGGGGTGGAAGGTGTGGTAGAGTTCTTCAAAATACTGATAATTCCATAACATGGTACATTTATGGTATTAGTATACAACAGTACAAGATGTCCTGCCTCCAGTCGTTTCAAACAGAACCAAACACGTGTCTCCAGGCATACTCTCCATCACGTCACATGCCGGAGATCATTATTTAGCTACTTCATGAGCATGGTCTGCTACAGTGTGGGCCGGGCTACAGAGGCCTGACCAGCTGCAGCTGTCTCAGTGTCAGAATCTGCCAACATCCATCTCCGGGAAATATACTGCTCCAGTTTTGTTGGGGATATTTTGACCTTTCCATGACACACAAGCTGACTGTACATGTGTATAATAAAATAGAATGACAGCTCTTATTATTGCATCAAAAGTTGAGAAGCATATTACTTGAACATATTAAATGGTTCTGTTTAAAAGAAGGTCTTCTTTCCACCCCAGCTTAACTTGCCACACACCAAACTCTTTACATATTTTATCAACTCAAGGTATATTTCTGCGATGGAAACACCCTTGTACCCATCATGATACACACCACCAGGCACTGGCCTCTGTCAGAGGTCAGATCATGAACACCCTTGTACCCATCATGATACACACCACCAGCCCTGTCCTCTGTCAGAGGTCAGATCATGAACACCCTTGTACCCATCATGATACACACCACCAGCCCTGTCCTCTGTCAGAGGTCAGATCATGAACACCCTTGTACCCATCATGATACACACCACCAGGCACTGTCCTCTGTCAGAGGTCAGATCATGAACACCCTTGTACCCATCATGATACACACCACCAGCCCTGTCCTCTGTCAGAGGTCAGATCATGAACACCCTTGTACCCATCATGATACACACCACCAGCCCTGTCCTCTGTCAGAGGTCAGATCATGTTACATCAAGTCTTCTTTGACTGATTCAGCTGTTGAAACATCAAATTAAGAAACGAAATTCTCCATGTGTACCCGCAGTTTATGTTTATATTCAGAAAAATTGCACACGAAGACACAATGCCATTTAGGAAGTTGTCAAATGTAACATATGTTATATTTTGGATTACACTTTCTTAGTATAGTCAGATTTTAATACCTTTGTTGGAAGCCGCGGTGGCTGAGCGGTCTAGGCGTCTGACTTTATGTGCTGGTGATTAGGTGCCTGCCTCTGACGGTGTGGGTTCAAACCCAGCATGGCCCACTCAACCCAACAAAAGTACTAGAATCTGTTATTTACTAAGAAAGTGTAATCCCAAATATAATGTGTTCAAATTGCACAGTTCCTAAATGTGAAGTGCACCCCTCTTTCTCCAGAAATCTGTGCCCAAAGTTGATAATGTTGTTAAAATTATGGCCATCATATTCAGTCACATGGTTTAAACCAGAAGTCAGCTGTTACTGGAGAGGAGGAGGTGGGTTTCATCACCAGGCCAGCTATTCTCGAAACGTTCGTAGCCCTACGAACTTCGTAAGCCCATTCTTAACACATTGGCTACGATCAAAGTTAAGAATTCTTAGGGCTACGAACGTTTCGAGATTAAGGGCCCAGGAGCCGCTACGTAAGTTACTGGTACCAACTCAGCTATAACAGTGATTGATGCCATAATGTTGGAGTGAGTGAGTTCAGTTTTACGCCACACTCAGCAATATTCCAGCTATATGGCGGCCACAATGTTGGAGTGAGTGAGTTCTGTTTTACGCAATTTCCAGCTATATGGCGCCACACTCAGCAATATTCCAGCTATATGGCGGCCACAATGTTGGAGTGAGTGAGTTCAGTTTTACGCCACACTCAGCAATATTCCAGCTATATGGCGGCCACAATGTTGGAGTGAGTGAGTTCAGTTTTACGCCACACTCAGCAATATTCCAGCTATATGACTGCCACAATGTTGGAGTGAGTGAGTTCAGTTTTATGGTGGCCACAATGTTGGAGGAAAGCCTGACATGAAGTATGTCTATTTACCACAGCGGTGAAGCCAAGCAGCATGGTAGAACAGACTGAGGGAAAACACAGAGCCATTGAGGAATCCAAGCCCATGATCGTGTGGCTGGCACAGCTCAGTGAGGAATCCAAGCCCATGATCGTGTGACTGGCACAGCTCAGTGAGGAATCCAAGCCCATGATCGTGTGACTGGCACAGCTCAGTGAGGAATCCAAGCCCATGATCGTGTGGCTCGAACAGCTCAGTGAGGAATCCAAGCCCATGATCGTGTGACTGGCATCATTTTCATCATGTTTCTGATGGAGTGTCTGAGGTCAAGGTCACCCACCTCATCTTCCATGGCCAGGAAGGCCTCCCCAGAGTCTGGATCTATCTCCAACACCGACTTCAGCTTCATCTGGACAAACTCCAGCATGGAATACGGCAGCATGGCTTTGCGAGCTTCAAGGACATCTGTGATCTTCTGCTGAAACGCCATTGTCATCCTGTGTAATGTCTTCATGTCCAGTGGGTCCTGTGAACAGGCAGTTGTGTTTGTGTGTAACCCAGCTACACCACATCAGATGTCAAATCTGCACAGATTTATGTACAGATTGCCCAGTACTACCCTCGACTGTACCTGTCTCTCTGTGACTGTCTAGTACTACCCTCAACTGTACCTGTCTCTCTGTGACTGTCTAGTACTACCCTCAACTGTACCTGTCTCTCTGTGACTGTCTAGTACTACCCTCAACTGTACCTGTCTCTCTGTGACTGTCTAGTACTACCCTCAACTGTACCTGTCTCTCTGTGACTGTCTAGTACTACCCTCAACTGTACCTGTCTCTCTGTGACTGTCTAGTACTACCCTCAACTGTACCTGTCTCTCTGTGACTGTCTAGTACTACCCTCAACTGTACCTGTCTCTCTGTGACTGTCTAGTACTACCCTCAACTGTACCTGTCTCTCTGTGACTCTCCAGTACTACCCTCAACTGTACCTGTCTCTCTGTGACTGTCTAGTACTACCCTCAACTGTACCTGTCTCTCTGTGACTGTCTAGTACTACCCTCAACTGTACCTGTCTCTCTGTACCTGTCTCTGTGACTGTCTAGTACTACCCCCTCAACTGTACCTGTCTCTCTGTGACTGTCTAGTACTACCCTCAACTGTACCTGTCTCTCTGTGACTGTCTAGTACTACCCTCAACTGTACCTGTCTCTCTGTGACTGTCTAGTACTACCCTCAACTGTACCTGTCTCTCTGTGACTGTCTAGTACTACCCTCAACTGTACCTGTCTCTCTGTGGCTCTCTCAGTACTACCCTCTGTGCTGTACCTGTCTCTCTGTGACTGTCTAGTACTACCCTCAACTGTACCTGTCTCTGTGACTGTCTAGTACTACCCTCAACTGTACCTGTCTCTCTGTGACTGTCTAGTACTACCCTCAACTGTACCTGTCTCTCTGTGACTCTCTAGTACTACCCTCAACTGTACCTGTCTCTCTGTGACTGTCTAGTACTACCCTCAACTGTACCTGTCTCTCTGTGACTGTCCAGTACTACCCTCAACTGTACCTGTCTCTCTGTGACTCTCCAGTACTACCCTCAACTGTACCTGTCTCTCTGTGACTCTCCAGTACTACCCTCAACTGTACCTGTCTCTCTGTGACTGTCTAGTACTACACTCAACTGTACCTGTCTCTCTGTGACTGTCTAGTACTACCCTCAACTGTACCTGTCTCTCTGTGACTGTCTAGTACTACCCTCAACTGTACCTGTCTCTCTGTGACTCTCAGTACTACCCTCAACTGTACCTGTCTCTCTGTGACTGTCTAGTACTACCCTCAACTGTACCTGTCTCTCTGTGACTGTCTAGTACTACCCTCAACTGTACCTGTCTCTCTGTGACTGTCTAGTACTACCCTCAACTGTACCTGTCTCTCTGTGACTGTCTAGTACTACCCTCAACTGTACCTGTCTCTCTGTGACTGTCTAGTACTACCCTCAACTGTACCTGTCTCTCTGTGACTGTCTAGTACTACCCTCAACTGTACCTGTCTCTCTGTGACTGTCTAGTACTACCCTCAACTGTACCTGTCTCTCTGTGACTCTCCAGTACTACCCTCAACTGTACCTGTCTCTCTGTGACTGTCTAGTACTACCCTCAACTGTACCTGTCTCTCTGTGACTGTCTAGTACTACCCTCAACTGTACCTGTCTCTCTGTGACTCTCTAGTACCCTCAACTGTACTGTGTCTCTCTGTGACTGTCTAGTACTACACTCAACTGTACCTGTCTCTGTGACTGTCTAGTACTACCTCAACTGTACCTGTCTCTCTGTGACTGTCTAGTACTACCCTCAACTGTACCTGTCTCTCTGTGACTGTCTGTAGTACTACCCTCAACTGTACCTGTTTCTCTGTGACTGTCTAGTACTACCCTCAACTGTACCTGTCTCTCTGTGACTCTCTAGTACTACCCTCAACTGTACCTGTCTCTCTGTGACTGTCTAGTACTACCCTCAACTGTACCTGTCTCTCTGTGACTGTCTAGTACTACCCTCAACTGTACCTGTCTCTCTGTGACTGTCCAGTACTACCCTCAACTGTACCTGTCTCTCTGTGACTCTCCAGTACTACCCTCAACTGTACCTGTCTCTCTGTGACTGTCTAGTACTACACTCAACTGTACCTGTCTCTCTGTGACTGTCTAGTACTACCCTCAACTGTACCTGTCTCTCTGTGACTCTCCAGTACTACCCTCAACTGTACCTGTCTCTCTGTGACTGTCTAGTACTACCCTCAACTGTACCTGTCTCTCTGTGACTGTCCAGTACTACCCTCAACTGTACCTGTCTCTCTGTGACTGTCTAGTACTACCCTCAACTGTACCTGTGTCTCTGTGACTCTCTAGTACTACCCTCAACTGTACCTGTCTCTCTGTGACTCTCCTGTCTCAGTACTACCCTCAACTGTACCTGTCTCTCTGTGACTGTCTAGTACTACCCTCAACTGTACCTGTCTCTCTGTGACTGTCTAGTACTACCCTCAACTGTACCTGTCTCTCTGTGACTGTCTAGTACTACCCTCAACTGTACCTGTCTCTCTGTGACTGTCCAGTACTACCCTCAACTGTACCTGTCTCTCTGTGACTGTCTAGTACTACCCTCAACTGTACCTGTCTCTCTGTGACTCTCCAGTACTACCCTCAACTGTACCTGTCTCTCTGTGACTCTCAGTGTACTACCCTCAAATGTACCTGTCTCTCTGTGACTGTCTAGTACTACAACCTCAACTGTACCTGTCTCCTCTGTGACTGTCTAGTACTACCCTCAACTGTACCTGTCTCTCTGTGACTGTCTAGTACTACCCTCAACTGTACCTGTCTCTCTGTGACTGTCTAGTACTACCTGTCTCAACTGTGACCTGTCTCTCTCAACTGACTGTCTGACTGTAGTACCCTCAACTGTACCTGTCTCTCTGTGACTCTCTAGTACTACCCTCAACTGTACCTGTCTCTCTCAACTGACTGTCTCTCTGTACTACACTCAACTGTACCTGTCTCTCTGTGACTGTCCAGTACTACCCTCAACTGTACCTATCTCTCTGTGACTGTCTAGTCCTACCCTCAACTGTACCTGTCTCTCTGTGACTCTCTAGTACTACCCTCAACTGTACCTGTCTCTCTGTGACTGTCTAGTACTACCCTCAACTGTACCTGTCTCTCTGTGACTGTCTAGTACTACCCTCAACTGTACCTGTCTCTCTGTGACTCTCCAGTACTACCCTCAACTGTACCTGTCTCTCTGTGACTCTCCAGTACTACCCTCAACTGTACCTGTCTCTCTGTGACTGTCTAGTACTACCCTCAACTGTACCTGTCTCTCTGTGACTGTCTAGTACTACCCTCAACTGTACCTGTCTCTCTGTGACTCTCCAGTACTACCCTCAACTGTACCTGTCTCTCTGTGACTGTCTAGTACTACCCTCAACTGTACCTGTCTCTCTGTGACTTTCCAGTACTACCCTCAACTGTACCTGTCTCTGTGACTCTCCAGTACTACCCTCAACTGTACCTGTGTCTCTGTGACTCTCCAGTACTACCCTCAACTGTACCTGTCTCTCTGTGACTCTCCAGTACTACCCTCAACTGTACCTGTCTCTCTGTGACTGTCTAGTACTACCCTCAACTGTACCTGTCTCTCTGTGACTGTCTAGTACTACCCTCAACTGTACCTGTCTCTCTGTGACTGTCTAGTACTACCCTCAACTGTACCTGTCTCTCTGTGACTGTCCAGTACTACCCTCAACTGTACCTGTGTCTCTGTGACTCTCTCAGTACTATCCTCAACTGTACCTGTCTCTCTGTGACTCTCCAGTACTACCCTCAACTGTACCTGTCTCTCTGTGACTCTCAGTACTACCCTCAACTGTACCTGTCTCTCTGTGACTGTCTAGTACTACCCTCAACTGTACCTGTCTCTCTGTGACTGTCCAGTACTACCCTCAACTGTACCTGTCTCTCTGTGACTCTCCAGTACTACCCTCAACTGTACCTGTCTCTCTGTGACTGTCTAGTACTACCCTCAACTGTACCTGTCTCTCTGTGACTCTCCAGTACTACCCTCAACTGTACCTGTCTCTCTGTGACTGTCCAGTACTACCCTCAACTGTACCTGTCTCTCTGTGACTGTCTAGTACTACCCTCAACTGTACCTGTCTCTCTGTGACTCTCCAGTACTACCCTCAACTGTACCTGTCTCTCTGTGACTGTCTAGTACTACACTCAACTGTACCTGTCTCTCTGTGACTGTCTAGTACTACCCTCAACTGTACCTGTCTCTCTGTGACTGTCTAGTACTACCCTCAACTGTACCTGTCTCTCTGTGACTGTCTAGTACTACACTCAACTGTACCTGTCTCTCTGTGACTGTCCAGTACTACCCTCAACTGTACCTGTCTCTCTGTGACTGTCCAGTACTACCCTCAACTGTACCTGTCTCTCTGTGACTGTCTTCCCTGTTCTGGCTGTTCCAGCCTTGCTGTTCTTGCCACCAGTGTCAGGGGCAGCATCAAGGCTCTTCCACTTGTCATACTCCATGGCAAAGATGGTGAGATCTTGCAGGCCCTCGATGAGGTGACACACATACTCCGCCTCTGCCCCGACACTGTGCAGCATGCGCCACGTCTCTACTACATGAGACTGCTCCTGGAACATGGGGAATCAGGGCTGCAGGTGTCCAGGATAAGTTGTTGCGAGTCAGTTTGAGGTCAGTTGTGAAGGGTTGGGTGTAAAGGGTTGGGTGTGTAGGGTTGGGTGTGAGTAGGGTTGGGTGTGAAGGGTTGGGTGTGTAGGGTTGGGTGTGAAGGGTTGGGTGTGTAGGGTTGGGTGTGAAGGGTTGGGTGTGAAGGGTTGGGTGTGAAGGGTTGGGTGTGTAGGGTTGGGTGTGAAGGGTTGGGTGTGTAGAGTTGGGTGTAAAGGGTTGGGTGTGAAGTGTTGGGTGTGTAGGGGTTAGGCGTGAAGTGTTTAGGTGTGTAGGGTTGGGTGTGAAGTGTTGGGTGTGTAGAGTTGGGTGTGTGAAGGGTTGGAGTGTGAAGTGTTGGGTGTGTAGGGTTGGAGGCGTGAAGTGTTAGGTGTGTAGGGTTGGGCGTGAAGTGTTGTGTGTGAAGGGTTGTGTGTGTAGGGTTGTGTGAAGGGTTGTGTGTGTAGGGTTGTGTGAAGGGTTGTTGTGTGTGTAGGGTTGGGTGTGTAGGGTTGGGTGTAAAGTGTTGTGTGTGAAGTGTTTGGGGTGTAGGGTTGGGTGTGAAAGGGTTGGGTGTGTAGGGTTGGGTGTGAGGGGTTAGGCGTGTAGGGTTAGGTGTGCAGGGTTGGTTGTGAAAGGGTTTGGTGTGAAGGGTTGGGCATGAAGGGGTTGGGCATGAAAGGGTTTGGTGTGAAGGGTTGGTTGTGAAGGGTTTGGTGTGAAGGGTTGGGCATGAAAGGGTTGGGTGTGAAAGGTTTGGTGTGAAAGGGTTTGGTGTGAAGGGTTGGTTATGAAAGGTTGGGTGTGTAGGGTTGTTTTTGAAGGGGTTGGGCGTGTAGGGTTGGGCGTGTAGGGTTGCGTGTGTAGGGTTGGGTGTGTAGGGTTGGTTGTGAAGGGTTGGGTGTGAAGGGTTGGGTGTGTAGGGTTGCGTGTGTAGGGTTGGGTGTGTAGGGTTGGTTGTGAAGGGTTGGGTGTGAAGTGTTGGGTGTGTAGGGTTGGTTGTGAAAAGGTTGGTTGTGAAGAGTTGGGTGTGTAGGGTTGGGTGTGTAGGGTTGGGTTTGAAGTGTTGGGTGTGTAGGGTTGGTTTTGTGAAAGGTTGGTTGTGAAGAGTTGGGTGTGTAGGGTTGGTTGTGTAGGGTTGGGTGTGAAGGGTTGGGTGTGTAGGGTTGCGTGTGTAGGGTTGGGTGTGTGTAGGGTTGGTTTGTGAAGGGTTGGGTTTGAAGTGTTGGGTGTGTAGGGTTGGTTGTGAAAGGTTGGTTGTGAAAAGAGTTGGGTGTGTAGGGTTGGTTGTGTAGGGGGTTGGGTGTGAAGGGTTGGGTGTGTAGGGTTGGAGTGTGTAGGGTTGGGTTTGAAGTGTTGGGTGTGTAGGGTTGGTTGTGAAAGGTTGGTTGTGAAAAGAGTTGGGTGTGTAGGGTTGGTTGTGTGGGTAGGGTTGGTAGTGAAGAGTTGGGTGTGTAGGGTTGGGTGTGTAGGGTTGGGTTTGAAGTGTTGGGGTGTGTAGGGTTGGTTGTGAAAGGTTGGTTGTGAAAGAGTTGGAGTGTGTAGGGTTGGTTGTGTAGGGTTGGGTGTGTAGAAAGGTTGGGTGTGTGTTAGGGAGTTGCGTGTGTAGGGTTGGGTGTGTAGGAGTTGGTTGTGAAGAAGGTTGGAGTTTTGAAGTGTTGGAGTGTGTAGGGTTGGGTTTGAAGTGTTGGGTGTGTAGGGTTGGTTGTGAAAGGTTGGTTGTGAAAAGAGTTGGGTGTGTAGGGTTGGGTGTGTAGGGTTGGGTTTGAAGTGTTGGAGGTGTGTAGGGTTGGTTGTGAAAAAGGTTGGTTGTGAAAGAAGTTGGGTGTGTGAAAGTAGGAGTTGGGTGTGTGTAGGGTTGGGTGTGAAAGTGTTGGGTGTGTAGGGTTGGTTGTGTGAAAAGGTTGGTTGTGAAAAGTTGTTGGGTGTGTAGGGTTGGAGTGTGTAGGGTTGGGTTTGAAGTGTTGGAGGTGTGTAGGGTTGGTTGGAGTTGAAAAGAGTTGGTTGTGTGAAAGAGTTGGGTGTGTAGGGTTGGGTGTGTAGGGTTGGGTGTGAAGTGTTGGGTGTGTAGGGTTGGTTGTGAAAAGGTTGGTTGTGAAAGAGTTGGGTGTGTAGGGTTGGAGTGTGAAGGGTTGGGTGTGTAGGGTTGGGTGTGTAGCAAGTGTTGGTGTGTGAAAAGAGTTGGGTGTGTAGGGTTGGTTGTGAAAGGTTGGTTGTGAAAGAAGAGTTGGGTGTGTAGGAGTTGGGTGTGTAGGGTTGGGTTTGAAGTGTTGGGGTGTGTAGGAGTTGGAGTGTAAAAGTGTTGTGTGTGAAGTGTTTGGGGTGTAGGGTTGGGTGTGAAAAGGAGTTGGAGTGTGTAGGGTTAGGTGTGAGGAGTTAAGCGTGTAGGGTTGGAGTGTGAAAGGTTGGGCATGAAAGGTTAGGCATGTATAGGGTTGGATGTGTAGGGTTGCGTGTGAAAAGTTGGAGTGTGAAGGGTTGCGTGTGTAGGGGTGGGTGTGAAAGGGTTGGGTGTGAAAAAGGTTGGTTGTGAAGTGTTGGGGTGTGAAGGGTTGCGTGTGTAGGGTTGCGTGTGTAGGGGGTGGGAAGTGAAAAGTTGGAGTGTGAAAGGAGTTGGTTGTGTAGGGTTGGGTGTGAAAGGGTTGGGTGTGTAGGGTTGGGTGTGTGAAGGTGTGATAGAGTTGGGTGTGAAGGGTTGGGTGTGAAGAGTTGGAATGCATGAAGGGTTGGGTGTGTAGGAGTTGGATGTGAAGGGTTGGGTGTGAAAGAGTTGGGTGTGAAAGGGTTGTGTGTAGGGTGTAGGTGTGAAGGTTGGGTGTGAAGGGTTGGTTGTGTAGGGTAGGGTGTGAAAGAGTTGGGTGTGAAAAGGGTTGCGTGTGAAGAGTTGGGTGTGTGAAAGGAGTTGCGTGTGAAGAAGTTGGGTGTGAAAGGGTTGCGTGTGAAAGAAGTTGGGTGTGAAGAGTTTGCGTGTGAAGGGTTGCGTGTGAAGAAGTTGGGTGTGAAGGGTTGCGTGTGAAAGAGTTGGAGTGTGAAGGGTTGGGTGTGAAGGGTTGGGTGTGAAGGGTTGGTTGTGAAGAGTTGGGTGTGAAGGGTTCAGCGTGTGAAAGAAGTTGGGTGTGAAGGGAGTTGGAGTGTGAAGGGTTGCGTGTGAAGAGTTGGGTGTGAAGGGCTTGCGTGTGAAGGGGTGGGTGTGAAAGGTTTGCGTGTGTAGGAATTGGGAGTGAAGGAGTTGGGTGTGAAAGGGCTGGTTGTGTAGGGTTGGGAAGTGAAAAGGGTTGGGTGTGAAGGGTTGCGTGTGAAAAGAAGTTGGGTGTGAAGGGTTGCGTGTGAAAAGTTGGGTGTGAAGGGTTGGGTGTGAAAGAGTTGGGTGTGAAGGGTTGCGTGTGAAAAGAGTTGCGTGTGAAAAGAGTTGGGTGTGTGAAGGGTTTGGGTGTGAAAAGAAGTTGGGTGTGAAAGGTTGCGTGTGAAGGGTTGGAATGGTGAAAAGGATGTTGCGTGTGAAAAGAGTTGGGTGTAGAAAGGGTTTAGTGTGAAGGGTTGGGTGTGAAGGGTTGGGTTGGGGCGTGACGGGAAAGGGTTGAAGGGTGTGAAGGGTTGGGTGTGGAAGTGTGAAAGGGGTGTGTAGGGCTGGGTGTGAAGGGTTGGGGTGTGAGGGTTGGGTGTGAAAGGTTGGGTGTAAAGAATTAATCCCCCTCCTACAGGTGTACCTATCTATCCACTGTGCCGTGGTCCCGAGTGTCCCCCTCCTACAGTGTACCTATCCCCTCCTACAGGTGAAGCATCCCCTCTCCTACAGGTGAACCTATCTATCCACTGTGCCTCGTGTCCCCTCCTAGGTTAATCCCCCCTCGTGGTCCTACAGGTGAACCCCATCTATCCACTGTGCCTCGTGTCCGAGCTGATCCCCCTCCTACAGGTGTACCTATCTATCCACTGTGCCTTGTGTCCCAGTTAATCCCCCTCCCTACAGGTGAACCTATCTATCCACTGTGCCTCGTGTCCCAGTTAATCCCCCTCCTACAGGTGTACATACCTATCCACTGTGCCTCGTGTCCCAGTTAATCCCCCTCCTACAGGTGTAACCTACCTATCCACTGTGCCTCGTGTCGAGTTGATCCCCCTCCTACAGGTGAACCTATCTATCCACTGTGCCTCGTGGTCCCAGTTAATCCCCCTCCTACAGGTGAACCCATACAGGTGTACCTATCTATCTATCCACTGTGCCTCGTGGTCCCAGTTAATCCCCCTCCTACAGGTGTACCTATCTATCCACTGTGCCTCGTGTCCAGTTATCCCCCTCCCACAGGTTAATCCCCCACTCCTCGTACAGGTGAACCTATCTATCCACTGTGCCTCGTGGTCCAAGTTAATCCCCCCTCCTACAGGTGAACCTATCTATCCACTGTGCCTCGTGTCCAAGTTAATCCCCCCTCCTACAGGTGAACCTATCTATCCACTGTGCCTCGTGTCCAAGTTAATCCCCCCTCCTACAGGTGAACCTATTTATCCACTGTGCCTCGTGTCCAAGTTAATCCCCCGTCCTAGAGGTGAACCTATCGATCCACTGTGCCTCGAGTCCAAGTTAATCCCCCCTCCTACAGGTGAACCTATCTATCCACTGTGCCTCGTGTCCGAGTTAATCCCTACCTGTGACATGAGGGCACGGAGCAGCAGGAGCCGGTGAACATCCAGCCACTGTGCTTTGTTCCGAGCCTTCAGGATGTGGTCATCCAGGGACTGGAAGGCTGCTCGGATGTTGGGGCCACTGAGTGGATTGCCGCTCCTCGGACCGCCATTCTGATAGTGGAAGGCAGCCTGCCAGGGAAATAACATTTATACACAGACTGATTCAACATGTCCTAGGAATACCCCAATACTGACAGTGTTACTCACAATGCTATGCTACAATGTATCTACTGACTCACATTGCTGTGCTACAATGTATCTACTGACTCACATTGCTGTCCTAAAATGTATCTACTGACTCACATTGCTGTGTTACAATGTATCTACTGACTCACATTGCTGTGTTACAATGTATCTACTGACTCACATACTGCTGTGCTACAATGTATCTACTGACTCACATTGCTGTCTGTCCTATCAACTATCACACACCACTGTGCTACATACTACTGACATATTGCACTACAATACATAATAACATTTGCTAAATGTATCTACTGAGCTCACATTGCTGTGCTACAATGTATCTACTGACTTACATTTGCTGTCCTACAATGTATCTACTGAGACTCACATTGCTGTGCTACAATGTATCTACTGACTCACATTCACTGTACTACAATGTATCTACTGACTCTCACACCACTGTGCTACAATGTATCTACTGACTCACATTGCTGTACTACAATGTATCTACTGACTCCACACCACTGTGCTACAATGTATCTACTGACTCTTGCTGTGCTACAATGTATCTACTGACTTACATTGCTGTCCTACAATGTATCTACAGACTCACATTGCTGTGCTACAATGTATCTACTGACTCACATTGCTGTGCTACAATGTATCTACTGACTCACACTGCTGTACTACAATGTATCTACTGACTCACACACCACTGTGCTACAATGTATCTACTGACTCACACATTTCTGTCCTACAATATATTTACAGACTCACACTGCTGTGCTACAATGTATCTACTGACTCACACTGCTATGCTATAATGTAAGACAATTATGGTCTTAATCATCCACACTCACCCTGTCGTTTGTTAGGAAGAGGCATTGATAAAAGGAGCAGGGGTCTGAGGGGAAGTATAGCTGCTTGCTGGAACACAACATGCAGATCTTGGTTAAAACACAGCATGCAGATCTTGGATAAAACACAACATGCTGATCTTGGATAAAACACAACATGCAGATCTTGGATAAAACTCATCATTCAGATCATGGTTAAAACACAACATGCAGATCTTGGTTAAAACACAACATGCTGATCTTGGATAAAACACAACATGCTGATCTTGGTTAAAACACAACATGCAGATCTTGGATAAAACACAACATGCAGATCTTGGATAAAACACAGCATGCAGATCTTGGATAAAACACAGCATGCAGATCTTGGATAAAACACAACATGCAGATCTTGGATAAAACACAGCATGCAGATCTTGGATAAAACACAGCATGCAGATCTTGGATAAAACACAACATGCAGGTCTTGGATAAAACACAACATGCAGATCTTGGTTAAAACACAGCATGCAGATCTTGGATAAAACACAACATGCAGATCTTGGATAAAACACAGCATGCAGATCTTGGATAAAACACAACATGCAGATCTTGGATAAAACACAGCATGCAGATCTTGGATAAAACACAGCATGCAGATCTTGGATAAAACACAGCATGCAGATCTTGGATTAAAACACAGATCATGGATAAAACACAACATGCAGATCTTGGTTAAAACACAGCATGCAGATCTTGGATAAAACACAAGACATGCAAATCTTGGATAAAACACAGCATGCATGCAGGTCTTGGTTAAAACACAGCATGCAGATCTTGGATTAAAACACAGCATGCAGATCTTGGATCTTGGTTAAAACACAGCATGCAGATCTTGGATAAAACACAGCATGCAGATCTTGATAAAACACAACATGCAGGTCTTGGATAAAACACAGCATGCAGATCTTGGTTAAAACACAGCATGCAGATCTTGGATAAAACACAGCATGCAGATCTTGGATAAAACACAGCATGCAGATCTTGGTTAAAACACAACATGCAGATCTTGGATAAAACACAGCATGCAGATCTTGGATAAAACACAACATGCAGATCTTGGATAAAACACAACATGCAGATCTTGGATAAAACACAGCATGCAGATCTTGGATTAAAACACAACATGCAGATCTTGGATAAAACACAGCATGCAGATCTTGGTTAAAACACAGCATGCAGATCTTGGATAAAACACAGCATGCAGATCTTGTTGGATAAAACATAACATGCAGATCTTGGATAAAACACTGTGTAACTGATCCTTGATAACACATATAGATCCTTGGTAAAATGACATACAAGTCTCTGGTGAAACAATCAACATGATCTCGGAAAAACAACAAACAAATCCATGATAAAACAATAAATGGACCCTTTGATCTTACAAATTGAAATTATACAGATCCCTTAAATAGACATTCATACCCAACCCAAAACCCCAAGCATTATCTCCCCTTGCCTTGTAACTAAACTGGCACTGTATGTATGTTCTGGGCATGATACACAGTCAAACAGGTAGTATGTGTGGTGTACCATTCACCTACCCTAGACGGTCGTCGGTCAGCCAGTGGAACAAGAAGTGTTTCTTCACACCCACGTACCGCCACTCATCCAGCTGCACGTACGCCTGGGAAGACACATCACAGTGACAACTCTTTAAACATCATCGGTCGCATGACAGAATACATTTCAGGATGCTATTAAAATACAGGAGTCAGTTAATCCTGCAGGATATGCAAATCTATCCAATTCCAAAGTTCCTCGTGGCACTCAAACTAAACACGGAGTATTGACAACAACATGACCTAAATATTCTAGATAAATATCATTACCTTCCCCACTCCACATCATTCGGCCAACACACTACCACACACTCACCTTGAAGTTGATAGGTTCTCTCCTGGAACACACCACCACACACTCACCTTGAAGTTGATGGGCTCTCTCCTGGAACACACCACCACACACTCACCTTGAAGTTGATGGGCTCTCTCCTGGAACACATCACCACACACTCACCTTGAAGTTGATAGGTTCTCTCCTGGAACACACCACCACACACTCACCTTGAAGTTGATAGGCTCTCCTCGCTGGACACCACCACACACACTCACCTTGAAGTAGATGGGCTCTCTCCTGGAACACACCACCACACACTCACCTTGAAGTAGATGGGCTCTCTCCTGGAACACACACCACACACTCACCTTGAAGTTGATAGGTTCTCTCCTGGAACACACCACCACACACTCACCTTGAAGTTGATAGGTTCTCTCCTGGAACACACCACCACACACTCACCTTGAAGTTGATAGGCTCTCTCCTGGAACACACCACCACCACTCACCTTGAAGTTGATACCACACACTCACCTTGGTTCTCTCCTGGAACACACCACCACACACTCACCTTGAAGTTGATGGGCTCTCTCCTGGAACACACCACCACACACTCACCTTGAAGTTGATGGGCTCTCTCCTGGAACACACCACCACACACTCACCTTGAAGTTGATGGGCTCTCTCCTGGAACACACCACCACACACTCACCTTGAAGTTGATGGGCTCTCTCCTGGAACACACCACCACACACTCACCTTGAAGTTGATGGGTTCTCTCCTGGAACACACCACCACACACTCACCTTGAAGTTGATAGGTTCTCTCCTGGAACACACCACCACACACTCACCTTGAAGTTGATGGGCTCTCTCCTGGAACACACCACCACACACTCACCTTGAAGTTGATAGGGCTCTCTCCTGGAACACACACCTCACCTTGAAGTACACACACCACCACACACTTGAAGTTGATAGGCTCTCTCCTGGAACACACACCACACACTCACCTTGAAGTTGATGGGCTCTCTCCTGGAACACACCACCACACACTCACCTTGAAGTAGATGGGTTCTCTCCTGGAACACACCACCACACACTCACCTTGAAGTTGATAGGTTCTCTCCTGGAACACACCACCACACACTCACCTTGAAGTAGATGGGCTCACCCTGAACACACCACCATGCTCACCTTGAAGTTGATAGGTCTCTCCTGGAACACACCACCACACACTCACCTTGAAGTAGATGGGCTCTCTCCTGGAACACACCACCACACACACCTTGAAGTTGATAGGCTCTCTCACCTTGAAGTTGATAGGTTCTCTCCTGGAACACACCACACACAAGTTGATAGGCTCTCTCCTGGAACTCACCTTGAAGTTGATGGGTTCTCTCCTGGAACACACCACCACACACTCACCTTGAAGTTGATAGGTTCTCTCCTGGAACACACCACCACACACTCACCTTGAAGTAGATGGGCTCTCTCCTGGAACACACCACCACACACTCACCTTGAAGTTGATAGGTTCTCTCTCCTGGAACACACCACCACACACTCACCTTGAAGTTGATGGGTTCTCTCCTGGAACACACCACCACACACTCACCTTGAAGTTGATGGGTTCTCTCCTGGAACACACTCACCAACACACACCACCTTGAAGTTGATACTCTCCTGGAACACACCACCACACACTCACCTTGAAGTTGATGGGTTCTCTCCTGGAACACACCACCACACACTCACCTTGAAGTTGATAGGTTCTCTCCTGGAACACACCACCACACACTCACCTTGAAGTTGATGGGCTCTCTCCTGGAACACACCACCACACACTCACCTTGAAGTTGATGGGTTCTCTCCTGGAACACACACACCACTCTTGAAGTTGATGGGTTCTCTCCTGGACACACCACCACACTCACCTTGAAGTAGATGGGTTCTCTCCTGAACACATGAACACACTCACCTTGAAGTAGATGGGCTCTCTCCTGGAACACACCACCACACACTCACCTTGAAGTTGATAGGCTCTCTCCTGGAACACACCACCACACACTCACCTTGAAGTTGATAGGTTCTCTCCTGGAACACACCACCACACACTCACCTTGAAGTTGATGGGCTCTCTCCTGGAACACACCACCACACACTCACCTTGAAGTAGATGGGCTCTCTCCTGGAACACACCACCACACACTCACCTTGAAGTAGATGGGCTCTCTCCTGGAACACACCACCACACACTTACCTTGAAGTAGATGGGTTCTCTCCTGGAACACACCATCTCGAACTCAGTGAGGAATCCTTGTCTGGAGTTGAAGATGTCCTCCCAGGACCAGCCGATTCTGTCATTCCCCATGTAGACTCCCATCACTGGGTAGGAGGACAACTTGATCAGGTCACACAGGTGGTTGTATACTGCGGAGAAAAGATTGATCAGGTCACACAGGTGGTTGTATACTGTGGAGGAGAGTTTGATCAGGTCAGACAGTGGTTGAATACTGTGGAGGAAAGTTTGATCAGGTCACACATGTGGTTGGATACTGCGGAGGAAGATTGATCAGGTCACACAGGTGGTTGTATACTGCGGAGGAAATATTGATCAGGTCACACAGGTGGTTGTACACTGTGAAGGAGAGTTTGATCAGATCACACACGTGGTTGTACACTGTCGAGGAGAGTTTGATCAGGTCACACAGGTGGTTGTACACAGTGGAGGACAGTTTGATCAGGTGAGACAGTGGTTGTATACTGTGGAGGAAGATTGATCAGGTCACACAGGTGGTTGTACACTGTGGAGGACAGTTTTATCCGGTCACACAGGTGGTTGTATATTGCAGAGGAAGATTGATCAGGTCACACAGGTGGTTGTATACTGCGGAGAAAAGATTGATCAGGTCACACAGGTGGTTGTATACTGCAAAGAAAAGATTGATCAGGTCACACACGGGTGGTTGTACACTGTGAATTACAGTTTAATCAGGTCACACAGGTGGTTGTATACTGTGGAGGAGAGTTTGATCAGGTCACACAGGTGGTTGTATACTGTGGAGGAAATATTGATCAGGTCACACAGGTGGTTGTATACTGTGGAGGAGACTTTGATCAGGTCACACAGGTGGTTGTATACTGTGGAGGAGACTTTGATCAGGTCACACAGGTGGTTGCATACTGTGGAGGAGACTTTGATCAGGTCACACAGGTGGTTGTATACTGTGGAGGAGACTTTGATCAGGTCACACAGGTGGTTGTATACTGTGGAGGAGAGTTTGATCAGGTCACACAGGTGGTTGTATACTGTGGAGGAAAGTTTGATCAGGTCACACATGTGGTTGGATACTGCGGAGGAAGATTGATCAGGTCACACAGGTGGTTGTATACTGCGGAGGAAATATTGATCAGGTCACACAGGTGGTTGTACACTGTGGAGGAGAGTTTGATCAGGTCACACAGGTGGTTGTATACTGTGGAGGAGAGTTTGATCAGGTCACACAGGTGGTTGTATACTGTGGAGGACAGTTTGATCAGGTCACACAGGTGGTTGTATACTGCTGGAAGAAAAGATTGATCAGGTCACACAGGTGGTTGTATACTGTGGAGGAGAGTTTGATCAGGTCACACAGGTGGTTGTATACTGTGGAGGACAGTTTGATCAGGTCACAGGTGGTTGCACACTGTGGATTAGAGTTTGATCAGGTCACACAGGTGGTTGTACACTGTGGATTAGAGTTTGATCAGGTCACACAGGTGGTTCTATACTGTGGATTAGAGTTTGATCAGGTCACACAGGTGGTTGTACACTGTGGAGGACAGTTTAATCAGGTCACACAGGTGGTTGTATACTGTGGATTAGAGTTGATCAGGTCACACAGGTGGTTGTACACTGTGGATTAGAGTTTGATCAGGTCACACAGTTGGTTGTACACTGGATTAGAGTTTGATCAGGTCACACAGGTGGTTGTACACTGTGGAGGACAGTTTGATCAGGTCACACAGGTGGTTGTATACTGCGAAGAAAAGATTGATCAGGTCTGACAGGTAGTTGTACACTGTGGATTAGAGTTTGATCAGGTCACACAGGTGGTTGTATACTGTGGAGGAGACTTTGATCAGGTCACACAGGTGGTTGTATACTGTGGAGGAGACTTTGATCAGGTCACACAGGTGGTTGTATACTGTGGAGGAGAGTTTGATCAGGTCACACAGGTGGTTGTATACTGTGGGAGAAAGATTGATCAGGTCACATGGTGGTTGTACACTGTGGAGGACAGTTTGATCAGGTGAGACAGTGGTTGTATACTGTGGAGGAAGATTGATCAGGTCACACAGGTGGTTGTATACAGTGGAGGACAGTTTGATCAGGTTGGTTGTATACTGATCAGGTCACACAGGTGGTTGTACACTGTGGAGGAAGGTCACACAGGTTGATCAGGTCATCAGGTCAGGTGGTTGTATACTGCGGAGAAAAGATTGATCAGGTCACACAGGTGGTTGTATACTGCAAAGAAAGATTGATCAGGTCACACAGGTGGTTGTACACTGTGGATTAGAGTTTGATCAGGTCACACAGGTGGTTGTATACTGTGGATTAGAGTTTGATCAGGTCACACAGGTGGTTGTATACTGTGGAGGAGACTTTGATCAGGTCACACAGGTGGTTGTACACTGTGGATTAGAGACTGATCAGGTCACACAGGTGGTTGTATACTGTGGAGGACAGAGTTTGATCAGGTCACACAGGTGGTTGTATACTGTGGACACAGGTGGTTTGATCAGGTCACACAGGTGGTTGTATACTGTGGAGGAGAGTTTGATCAGGTCACACAGGTGGTTGTATACTGTGGAGGAAACTTTGATCTGGTCACACAGGTGGTTGTATACTGTGGAGGAGAGTTTGATCAGGTCACACAGGTGGTTGTATACTGCGGAGGAAGATTGATCAGGTCACACAGGTGGTTGTATACTGTGGAGGAGAGTTTGATCAGTTCACACAGGTGGTTGTACACTGTGGAGGACAGTTTGATCAGGTCACACAGGTGGTTGTATACTGCGGAGGAAATATTGATCAGGTCACACAGGTGGTTGTATACTGTGGAGGAAACTTTGATCAGGTCACACAGGTGGTTGTATACTGTGGAGGAGACTTTGATCAGGTCACACAGGTGGTTGTACACTGTGGAGGAGAGTTTGATCAGGTCACACAGGTGGTTGTATACTGCGGAGGAAATATTGATCAGGTCACACAGGTGGTTGTATACTGTGGAGGAGATTTTGATCAGGTCACACAGGTGGTTGTACACTGTGGAGGACAGTTTGATCAGGTCACACAGGTGGTTGTATACTGTGGAGGAGACTTTGATCAGGTCACACAGGTGGTTGTATACTGTGGAGGAGACTTTGATCAGGTCACACAGGTGGTTGTATACTGTGGAGGAGACTTTGATCAGGTCACACAGGTGGTTGTATACTGTGGAGGAGACTTTGATCAGGTCACACAGGTGGTTGTATACTGTGGAGTTTGATCAGGTCCACACAGTTTGATCAAGGTCAGGTCACACAGGTGGTTGTACACTGTGGATTAGAGTTTGATCAGGTCACACAGGTGGTTGTATACTGTGGATTAGAGTTTGATCAGGTCACACAGGTGGTTGTACACTGTGGATTAGAGTTTGATCAGGTCACACAGGTGGTTGTACACTGTGGATTAGAGTTTGATCAGGTCACACAGGTGGTTGTACACTGTGGATTAGAGTTTGATCAGGTCACACAGGTAGTTGTACACTGTGGATTAGAGTTTGATCAGGTCACACAGGTGGTTGTATACTGTGGATTAGAGTTTGATCAGGTCACACAGGTGGTTGTACACTGTGGATTAGAGTTTGATCAGGTCACACAGGTGGTTGTATACTGTGGATTGGATTTTGATCAGGTCACACAGGTGGTTGTACACTGTGGATTAAGAGTTTGATCAGGTCACACAGGTGGTTGTACACTGTGGATTAGAGTTTGATCAGGTCACACAGGTGGTTGTACACTGTGGATTAGAGTTTGATCAGGTCACACAGGTGGTTGTACACTGGATTAGAGTTTGATCAGGTCACACAGGTGGTTGTACACTGTGGAGGACAGTTTGATCAGGTCACACAGGTGGTTGTATACTGCAGAAAGATTGATCAGGTCACACAGGTGGTTGTACACTGTGGATTAGAGTTTGATCAGGTCACACAGGTGGTTGTATACTGTGGAGGAGACTTTGATCAGGTCACACAGGTGGTTGTATACTGTGGAGGAAACTTGATCTGGTCACACAGGTGGTTGTATACTGCGGAGGAAAGATTGATCAGGTCACACAGGTGGTTGTATACTGTGGAGGAGACTTTGATCAGGTCACACAGGTGGTTGTATACTGTGGAGGAGACTTTGATCTGGTCACACAGGTGGTTGTATACTGCTGAGGAAATATTGATCAGGTCACACAGGTGGTTGTATACTGTGGAGGAGACTTTGATCAGGTCACACAGGTGGTTGTATACTGTGGAGGAGACTTTGATCAGGTCACACAGGTGGTTGTATACTGTGGAGGAGACTTTGATCTGGTCACACAGGTGGTTGTATACTGTGGAGGAGACTTTGATCTGGTCACACAGGTGGTTGTATACTGTGGAGGAGACTTTGATCTGGTCACACAGGTGGTTGTATACTGCGGAGGAAATATTGATCAGGTCACACAGGTGGTTGTATACTGTGGAGGAGACTTTGATCAGGTCACACAGGTGGTTGTATACTGTGGAGGAGACTTTGATCAGGTCACACAGGTGATTAAACACTGTGGAGGAGGGTTTGTACATGGCATCATCCCAGGTCATAAATATTTAGCAACCAGTTGATGTTTGGCTAATGCTTGCTAGTGCACAGCTTGAGTCAGCACTGTGACTGCTGGGTTGAACAAAGACACAAAACCTATGTTAAAGGTCACATGCAACCAAAAATCAAACATGATTAAAGAGAATTATCACTTATTCATGACATATAATATACATTGCTGGTTATGAAAAACATATACACAAAATTATAAAGCGTTACAATCGCAAATCAAAAGTGCAATATTGTCTCTACTTAGGTTTACTTCCCAAGAAACGAAGCAGGCGGGATACCGAACCCAGTCAGAGCGGGTGGGTGTGCACTCAAGTGTAACGGCTGGTTCATTTGCAGATGCCCTCATGGCTCATTGTGTGTATATATATAGAGGGTTTTGTAAATACATGCTCATTTTTGTGTATAACATTTTACAATCAACAGACATCATAACATGTCATGTGTTCAAGTATCACACCTGCCTGTCTGTGTAATTACATAATGTGACAGAGGCCGAACTTCGAGACCATAAATCGATGCATTTTGTTTATGGTGTATATCCTGATTGGTGTTAAGTTCAAATTGCATGTGGTCAGTGATTGCAGCTGTGTATTGAATATTGTCATTAGCAGACAGGCAGGCAGACAAACAGGTGTCAATAAAACAAGACATTGAGTTTTGTCTGTGACAACGACATATCTATATCACAGTTAGAAATTCTGTCAAAGCTAAATAATGACATTGCTTTTAAGTATCGAACTGAGAAAGTGACTTCGGTAAGAGCGTGTGGGTGAAATAGACAAATGAAATTAGATAAACAGTTAATTTACTGTTATAACATATAAAAGCTCGGCCCTGTGAGATATCAACAAAACATTAGAAAAATAGCTCACACCAAAGCCTTCACCGAAAGGTATTCACCGGACAACCCGGCTTCAAGTTGCGTGCTGAACCTATTTCACTGCGTCGTTGATATGAGCGCAGCCCAGCTGTTGAAACCAGTTTTTCACCCGAAAAGTCGGGGAAACTTAGTGAAACGTTTGAACTCGATTTCAAGCCGGTTTTTCATCACGTTATTTTTCAACTTTTTAAGTTGAATTTGCATTTTGACGATTTGTTTCGGTAAGTCCATACGAAAGGTATCAGAATCTCCAAAGTTGTGTTTTACATTGCATGTGACCTTTAACATAGAAAGATAATTTTTAAGGTTAGAAGAAAAAACAAATATCTTACCCATTTTGCAAACAAGTTGAGGGCCTCACTCTCACATCCCTGTGGCCCCTGCATGTAGTAGTGTTCCTCCAAGGTTACAGAGTTCACGTACGGCTGCATCTGTCCGTACAGCAGACACGGCCCCACAATCCCCATACACACTCCGATCTGGGGGACAGTTGTACAGTACAAGTTGTAGCGATATCACTACAGTTACAACAGACCGCGACTCCACAAATCCCCATACACACTCCGATCTGGGGAACAGTTGTACAGTACAAGTTGTAGCGATATCACTACAGTTACAACAGACACGACTCCACAATCCCCATACACACTCCGATCTGGGGGACAGTTGTACAGTACAAGTTGTAGCGATATCACAGAACACAGTTACAACAGACACGACCCCACAATCCCCATACACACTCCGATCTGGGGGACAGTTGTACAGTACAAGTTGTAGCGATATCACAGAACACAGTTACAGCAGACACGACCCCACAATCCCCATACACACTCCGATCTGGGGGGAATAGTTGTACAGTACAAGTTGTAGCGATATCACAGAACACAGTTACAACAGACACGCGACCCCACAATCCCCATACACACTCCGATCTGGAGAACAGTTGTACAGTACAAGTTGTAGCGATATATCACAGAACACAGTTACAACACACATGACCCCATAATCCCCATACACACTCCGATCTGGGGAACAGTTGTACAGTACAAGTTGTACCCATATCACAGAACAGAGTTACAACAGACATGACCCCACAATCCCCATACTCACTCCGTTTTGGGGGACAGTTGTACAGTACAAGTTGTAGCGATATCACAGAACACAGTTACAACAGACACGACCCCACAATCCCCATACACACTCCGATCTGGGGGGACAGTTGTACAGTACAAGTTGTAGCGATATCACTACAGTTACAACACACATGACCCAACAATCCCCATACACACTCCGATCTGGGGAACAGTTGTACAGTACAAGTTGTAGCTGATATCACAGAACACAGTTACAACAGACATGACCCCACAATCCCCATACACACTCCGATCTGGGGGAACAGTTGTACAGTACAAGTTGTAGTGATATCACATAACACAGTTACAACACATGACCCCACAATCCCCATACACACTCTCGATCTGGGGAACAGTTGTACAGTACAAGTTGTAAGCGATATCACAGAACACAGTTACAACAGACATGACCCCACAATCCCCATACACACTCCGATCTGGGGGAACAGTTGTACAGTACAAGTTGTAGGGATATCACAGAACACAGTTACAACAGACATGACCCCACAAATCCCCATACACACTCCGATCTGGGGAACAGTTGTACAGTACAAGTTGTAGGGATATCACAGAACACAGTTACAACAGACATGACCCCACAATCCCCATACACACCGATCTGGGGACAGTTGTACAGTACAAGTTGTAGTGATATCACAGAACACAGTTACAACAGACATGACCCCACAATCCCCATACACACTCTGATCTGGGGACAGTTGTACAGTACAAGTTGTAGGGATATCACAGAACACAGTTACAACAGACATGACCCCACAATCCCCATACACACTCCGATCTGGGGAACAGTTGTACAGGAAGTACAAGTTGTAGGGATATCACAGAACACAGTTACAACAGACATGACCCCACAATCCCCATACACACTCCGATCTGGGGACAGTTGTACAGTACAAGTTGTAGTGATATCACAGAACACGAGTTACAACAGACATGACCCCAACAATCCCCATACACACTCCGATCTGGGGGACAGTTGTACAGTACAAGTTGTAGCGATATCACAGAACACAGTTACAACAGACATGACCCCACAATCCCCATACACACTCCGATCTGGGGGACAGTTGTACAGTACAAGTTGTAGCGATATCACAGAACACAGTTACAACAGACACGACCCAACAATCCCCATACACACTCCGATCTGGGGGACAGTTGTACAGTACAAGTTGTAGCGATATCACAGAACACAGTTACAACAGACACGACCCCACAATCCCCATACACACTCCGATCTGGGGGACAGTTGTACAGTACAAGTTGTAGGGATATCACAGAACACAGTTACAACACACATGACCCAACAATCCCCACACACACCTCGATCTGGGGACAGTTGTACAGCAGTACAAGTTGTAGCGATATCACAGAACACAGTTACAACAGACATGACCCCCACAATCCCCATACACACTCCGATCTGGGGACAGTTGTACAGTACAAGTTGTAGGGATATCACAGAACACAGTTACAACACACATGACCCAACAATCCCCATACACACTCCGATCTGGGGACAGTTGTACAGTACAAGTTGTAGGGATATCACAGAACACAGTTACAACACACATGACCCCACAATCCCCATACACACTCTGATCTGGGGAACAGTTGTACAGTACAAGTTGTAGGGATATCACAGAACACAGTTACAACAGAGACATGACCCCACAATCCCCATACACACTCTCGATCTGGGGAACAGTTGTATAGTACAAGTTGTAGTGATATCACAGAACACAGTTACAACAGACATGACCCCACAATCCCCATACACACTCCGATCTGGGGAACAGTTGTACAGTACAAGTTGTAGTGATATCACAGAACACAGTTACAACAGACATGACCCCACAATCCCCATACACACTCCGATCTGGGGAACAGTTGTACAGTACAAGTTGTAGTGATATCACAGAACATAGTTACAACAGACGCTGACCCCACAATCCCCATACACACTCCGATCTGGGGAATAGTTGTACAGTACAAGTTGTATTGATATCACAGAACACAGTTACAACAGACATGACCCCACAATCCCCATACACACACTCCGATCTGGGGAACAGTTGTACAGTACAAGTTGTAGTGATATCACATAAACACAGTTACAACAGACAGACATGACCCCACAATCCCCATACACACTCCGATCTGGGGACGAGTTGTACAGTACAAGTTGTAGTGATATCACATAACACAGTTACAACAGACATGACCCCACAATCCCCATACACACTCCGATCTGGGGACAGTTGTACAGTACAAGTTGTACCCATATCACAGAACAGAGTTACAACAGACATGACCCCACAATCCCCATACTCACTCCGTTTTGGGGACAGTTGTACAATTACAAGTTGTAGCGATATCACAGAACACAGTTACAACAGACATGACCCCACAAACCCCATACACCTCCGATCTGAGGGACAGTTGTACACAGTACAAGTTGTAGCGATATCACTACAGTTACAACACACATGACCCAACAATCCCCATACACACTCCGATCTGGGGAACGGTTGTACAGCAACAAGTTGTAGCGATATCACAGAACACAGTTACAACAGACGCTGACCCCACAATCCCCATACACACTCCGATCTGGGGGAACAGTTGTACAGTACAAGTTGTAGTGATATCACATAACACAGTTACAACACACATGACCCCAATAACCGCCAATAATCTCGATCTGGGGATCAGTTGTACAGTACAAGTTGTAGCCGATATCACAGAACACAGTTACAACCGACATGACCCCACAATCCCCATACACGCCTCCGATCTGGGGAACAGTTGTACAGTACAAGTTGTAGGGATATCACAGAACACAGTTACAACAGACATGACCCCACAATCCCCATACACACCCGATCTGGGGAACAGTTGTACAGTACAAGTTGTAGGGATATCACAGAACACAGTTACAACAGACATGACCCCACAATCCCCATACACACTCCGATCTGGGGACAGTTGTACAGTACAAGTTGTAGTGATATCACAGAACACAGTTACAACAGACATGACCCCACAATCCCCATACACACTCTGATCTGGGGACAGTTGTACAGTACAAGTTGTAGGGATATCACAGAACACAGTTACAACAGACATGACCCCACAATCCCCATACACACTCCGATCTGGGGGACAGTTGTACAGTACAAGTTGTAGGGATATCACAGAACACAGTTACAACAGACATGACCCCTACAATCCCCATACACACTCCGATCTGGGGGGACAGTTGTACAGTACAAGTTGTAGTGATATCACAGAACACAGTTACAACAGACATGACCCCACAATCCCCATACACCTCCGATCTGGGGACAGTTGTACGAGTGCCAAAGTTGTAGCAATATCACAGAACTTACAGTTACAACACACATGACCCCACAATCCCCATACACACTCCTGATCTGGGGAACAGTTGTACAGTACAAGCTTGTAGTGATATCACAGAACACAGTTACAACAGACATGACCCCACAATCCCCATACACACTCCGATTCTGGGGACAGTTGTACGAGTACAAGTTAGCCAGCGATATCACAGAACACAGTTACAACAGACATGACCCCACAATCCCCATACACACTCCAATCTGGGGACAGTTGTACAGTACAAGTTGTAGGGATATCACAGAACACAGTTACAACACACATGACCCAACAATCCCCACACACACTCCGATCTGGGGACAGTTGTACAGTACAAGTTGTAGCGATATCACAGAACACAGTTACAACAGACATGACCCCACAATCCCCATACACACTCGATCTGGGGGACAGTTGTACGAGTACAAGTTGTAGGGATATCACAGAACACAGTTACAACACACATGACCCAACAATCCCCATACACACTCCGATCTGGGGACAGTTGTACAGCACAAGTTGTAAGCGATATCACAGAACACAGTTACAACACACATGACCCCACAATCCCCATACACACCTGATCTGGGGAACAGTTGTACAGTACAAGTTGTAGGGATATCACAGAACACAGTTACAACAGAGACGACCCCTACAATCCCCATACACACTCCGATCTGGGGAACAGTTGTACAGTACAAGTTGTAGTGATATCACAGAACACAGTTACAACAGACATGACCCCACAATCCCCATACACACTCCGATCTGGGGAACAGTTGTACGAGTACAAGTTGTAGGGATATCACAGAACACAGTTACAACAGACATGACCCCACAATCCCCATACACACTCCGATCTGGGGACAGTTGTACAGTACAAGTTGCCAGTGATATCACAGAACACAGTTACAACAGACATGACC